TCTTCTGATAATGTGGTCTCATACATGTCAAAGAGTGACGAGCAATGGAACAGAGCTTCTCTGAACCTTGTTAGGAAGAAGGGAGAATTGTATGTCCCGTTAATCTCTGCAAACACAAAGAGGTCAGGATTAATGTCTCTGAATAGTTTCAGAGCTGTGTCTCTTGGAGAGTTGAGGGACACGGTTTCATCAGGCGTATATTGTAGCCGGAGGATGCAATTGACAACTGTTGTCTCTCCACTATTGATCACCAGATCATCAAGAGTTATGTTCTCCCAATTTTTGGCTATGAAACTGTACTCAAACGGGACTTTGAACTTGTCACAGAACCTCTTCAGTCTTCGCCCTGTCTCTTCTACCCGCTCTGATGGGCGGAAGCCTGACTGAGGCAGCTCGATACCAGTCACACGGAGCAGTGGTGGTCCGATGTCACGTTTTGAAAGAGCTTGTATCAAACAAGGCCACTGAAATCCATAGAGGATCCCAAAATCAATGATGTGAAGTGTGGTTGCTTTGGAAGCAAGCTCAAGAATTGTTCTGTTTGCAGTGAAATAACACATTATTAAGGTGGGACAAGCCTGAACAAACCCCTTGTACGCCTTCAAAATGTCCACCATTGATGTTCTGCTAGAAGTGGCAGATATTGGTGTAGTCATGGTTCCAGTAATACGCGCTTCAAGCGCCTCAGCGAAGTGATAACCAAGTCTCTGAGTTGCATCGCCATGGCTAGAAGAGTGTTCTCTTATCTCCTTAAGTTTCTCAGCAGCTCTTCTCTGGTCAAAGCTCGCCACAGCTTGCGCGCATTGCATCAAAAGGTTCCTCATATCCACTGGCTGATCTGACTTTTGCTGCTTGGATCGATTCGATGAACCCTTTGCTTGTCTTGTTTTCTTCTCTGTTGCTTCTCCCTGATCATTCTTTTGACATACCAACAACACTTCCTCAAACTTCTCTGCCAACTCATCCACTGTAGAAATAGCAGGAAGCTTCGATTTCCTTCCACCCTCAAGATAATCATCTTCATCATCATCCCTATGTCGATACCTTCTGGTTGACTCCTCTGAAACTTCAGGTTGATGCAAACTCGTTATAGAACTGAAGTTACCAAGAGAACCATCCTCTAAATCGCCGGAGATCTGATCATCAGAAGGAGGAGTTTGATCTTGAAGCACTTCGTAGAAAGATCTCTCAGCGGCTTGTAAAGCCAAACTGTCTTCCAACATACAAGACTGTCCTTCAAGATCTTCTTCCATCAACATGTCATTGATGTACTTAAAGACAGGAAGGTAATCTGAACATACCTTAGACTCGGTCGGAGAAGGGTTGCTCTGAGATTCAGATTCGTTGAAACAAGTGAAACGATTGGTAGTACCAGATTCAAGATTGTTCCTTGGTTTGCAACAAGATCCAGAACCGTTGTCGAATCTGAACCCATCAACAGGTACTGGCAAAATAGCATCCATGAAACAGAATCTCACTAGAATGAAGATTGAAACAGGGTACTTTAGTAAGTCAACGAACAGAGGAAATGAGAGAAATAAGAAGTGAGAAGTTTCATGTGAACACAAGTTGAGAGATGTTGTTGATATATAAAAGATATTGTTATTTTGTTTTATTTAATCTTTGTCTTGGCAAAGAAGAAAAATGAAGTTTCGAGGAAACAGAGAATGTGTGGGGTTAGAGATAAACACTAAGCCGCCACAAAAGGTTAGTAATAATATCTACTGTCGTGGGTCCAAATGACTAAAAAGCTATTTGTTTTCTTGTTGTTGTCTTCCTTTTGGTCACTTGTCTGGTCAAATATTTGATTTATCATTTATGAGAAAACTAACAAAGATGATGTAAAAAAGTTGTAAACAATTCATTTCCTTTTAAAAAGTATTATTACATTGTTTACTTGCATTATTTGCGGATGAAATGATTATCAAGTAAAAACTACAATATATTTACTATATTATTATCCAAAATCTGAAATCTATATGTATTACGAACATGTATATATATATATTTTTATTTTATTTGAATCATCGATTCTTATATCGGAATTTCTTTTATCCTTAAAATGATTGAAAACAATAATTTATTTTCTAACTTTGTTTGTTTTTTCTCCAAAAAAAATCAATTGTCTATTCGCTAAAATAATTACCTCATTTTTGTGTCTGCACAAAATCATCCACAAGTAAATTAAATGTCGAAATATTTGTTTCCAAAATATTAGTATAAACTTGTGTAAGTTTCCAAAATTTTAACACTTCAACAAAAAAAAAATCCAAAATATTGTGTAAATTTTCAAATAAATGACCTTTCAAAATTGAAATGAAGAAGATGAATACGTAAACATTTCTATAAAAACGTTAAAATCATTCATATACATTTTGTTGCGTCAAGTGGACAAAGCAAAACTTCGCAGATATTAGAGTTCTTTTTAAGTGGGCAGAGTAATGGAACGAGACAGAATAATGGAAGGTCTAGAAACGAGAGGTAATAATAGGGGTCTAAAAACCAACTACAATAAAGTCTGAAAATTTAACAATGGAAGTCTAAAAGCAATGTGGTTGGAGAGACTGAAAGGTAAATTTGAGCGCTTTTTTTTTTAAAGCTCATTACTTCAATTATGGCTGTGTAGAGTATCTAGTATGATGAAAACATGCGGCTTACATATATCATACCCATCAAAGAATGACCCAGATTCTGTTCTTGTTCGTTTTAAAGATATTCTATCTCTTGATCTGAACAACATCTAACATAGCCGGCTATCAGTTTCTACATCAAGTGATTTTAAAAGTGATTTTGAGATTTTCTCTCTATATGGTGAAAGCTTTTGTATTTGATATTAGTCTATGTTTTCCTTGTCTAGGTTTTTGCAGCTTCATTCGTTTTTATCGAATCTGAAAAAATCTGTTGATCATCTTTTCTTTAACACTTATTTCTACCCGAAGCTCACTGACATGTACGAGGTAATCCTTTCAAAATAATTCTTTGATGGCATGCATGTGATTCACATGACTTATGTCCACTATTTTTTGTCTTTTCGTTTTGGCAAAATAGGAAAAGAAACACGGATGTAACACGTTTTGACAAGTTGAGGCAGTGGTAGAAGAACATTGATTTTTTCAGTAAAACTTATGTTTTTATACCAATACAGAAAGAGTAAGATATTTTTCAGAGTCTCAGAAATCCATGCTGTTGAAACTAATAAACGACACTTCGATGCCTTTTATGTGAGGCAAGTCGAGGACGGTTTTGCAAAAGAAATTGCAAAACCTCGACTTGCCTTATCTGCCCAGCGCATGTAGATATCAGAATGCTCCGGGAAATCGTATACCACAACAATCACAGCATGTTTCAATAGAAATGTCAAAAAAACAAAAACATAAATGAATAGATGAATATATCAAAAAGAAAAACATAAGAGAGATTGAATTAAAGCAATTTACCTTGATCATGCTTTTGCACAATATGATTGCATTTTTGGCAACACACTCACATTGTCCATGTTCTCGTTGTCATTCACAATGATGATCCTGGTAATTAAAATTAAGAAAGCAAAAAAAAATCCAAAATTCGTCGAATGTATTTAGAATATTTTTGTATGTTTCAAAAACTATCGATGGTCTTTTGGATTTTAAGAGTGGGAGATATTTGTTTATATTATCGACATCTACCCACTCAAGAAGAAGCGACGAATTTAGATTTGTACTAGTGGTTCAATCAAAAGAAAAAGACATAGTTTGCATATCTTGGTACTAAAGAAGCACATCAATATATCTAACATTTTAAAGAAGAAATCGAGAGTACTCAATGTTGCACCATTCCATTCACGTGAAACACAAACTTCTAAATGTTCTTGGACCATTTATTTTCTTTTACAGTCATAGGAAATTGGTTTTGAATTGAAAGAATAAATTTCAAAATTTGTCAACATAAGTAAATGAAGAAATCAAAGCGATGCAAACTCTAGCAAATAGAAGAATGACATTCATATAATGTTTTAAATTTGAAAATAACATCAGAATTTATGTTTTACAATTTTGATGTTTGTAAATTCAAGAAAATATTTTACAGAAAACAATAACTTAATAATCTCAACAATTTGTTGACAAAGAAATAATTCTTTATAACGTGACAATTGCTTTCTGGTTATATGGACCTAATTTAAAGTAAATATATCAAATAAGTACCATGTTTCTTGTGGTTCATAAATTATTTATATATATATATAAATAATTTATGAACCACAAGAAACATGGTACTTACTTGAGTGTAGTTTAAATTAGGTATATATATATATATACTTACTTGGTATATATATATTTGAGTGTAGTTTACTTGGTTGAAACTGGATCATTGAATCGTAATGTAGAAAGACAATTTATTGTACTATATTAGTGAGAGATTAGTCGTAACTCAGATTGAAAGCTAAATATTTGGTTTTGTTCTTTCTTTTTAGTGGAGAAAATCTTCAACCTAGTTTTATGACAATTCGTTTTGTCTTAACTTTGCTTATTATTCGTATTCAAATATGATACAAATGCAATTTCTTCTCTAAAACTGGATATATATCCTACAAAGTAAGTTTGAGCTTTGTGTTAAGTGCTCCCCATTCTCCCTACCAAATTTTTTTTTTAATTATTCCTTACTAATTAGTAATGACATAGTATTTTTTTTATATAATTGATTTGCATTTTTTGAGGATAGAAGATAAATTGAAAAAAATGACGACTTGGGAAAAAAAAAAAAAGATCCTAAAGAGTTTTTACAAAATATAAAAAATTCTTTAAAACCAAATTTACAAAATAAATAAGAAACACTGGCACATACCTAGTTTTTTAATATTATTTTGATTGCTATCATAAAAATAAAGAATCTTGATTTCATCAGTCATCATCATTATTTTGATTGCTATTATTTTGATTGCTATCATACCTAGTCATCATCAATCATATATAGAGAATAAAAATGTAATCAAAGATTTACAACAAATCCTTTACATTGTTAGAAAAAAAAACACAACCTTATTCCAATTATAAAACTTTACACTTGAAAGATAGAAGAAAAAAAAAACAAGAAGAACTGAGACCAGATCTTCAACTATGTCAGAATCTTACAATATGGATCATCATAATAATACACAAAGGTTCTTTAGAACAAGAAGAACCTGTTCAGATTAGAGCCTCTACCTGAGAAGATGGTGGCTCAGTCTGCAGTTGATGCATTAGGTGTTGTGACCAGTAAGCGTGTGCCTTCAGAACACGGTCCAGAAGTTCCTGTGGCACCGGTTCTCCTCTACGCTGCTGTGGTGATATCCTTGCCGTGTGGACCAGCGTCTTCCACTTATCCTACAAAGGCACAGATTCAATACCAACAACAATGATAGTGATATTCCAAATTGTATAAATTATGGTTAACAGTTAGTTAAAAAACTAACCTTGAGATCAACATAGGTACGGTGGTCTGCGTCCTCAAAAGCACGAACCTTAACGTCTCTCCACCTACGGTTTACAAACATATATACAACACATTTTGTCAGCAACATGAAGAGGAGGAAGTGCTATTTCTTTGTTTTGTACCTTCCGGTTCCGAGATGCTCAACGGCTTGGACCAGTGCTTCTACTTCAGTAACTGAGAAAGGTCGACGAATTCTGCGCTGTGCAGCTAGCTGCTGCTCAGTCCTTTTAAACTTACGGTTAGGAGGCCGAGGAGCCAACATTGCTGCTGACACAACAGGAATCAAAGCTCTAGAATGATCCGTTGTGCCTAGTTTTCCAAATGAGTCAGCTTGGGATGGTGCTGCTGGCTGATGACTAGAATCCAAGGCATTGCCGCGGCATAACGTCAAATCATCACATGCATGCTCTGACAGATAACTGGCAGAGAGAAAACGAGGCCCTTAAGCCACAAAAGATTGATTTTTTTATCGATGTGGCATCTCTGAGAGTGAAGAGAAGAGTGAACCTGGATGACAGCGGTTGAGGGGTAGTTTCTAAGTTGGGCTCAAGGCAGAAACCCAGAGAATCCAAGTGGTTGTTCTCCTCAGAAATCCCAGTCTGAAGAAGAGTTTTGCTATCATCTCGGACTTTCTTTCCTTGAACCATCAGCCCGACTCGGAGTCCATCACCCAGTATGGTAGTCACTGCTTCCATCACCATCCGCTGACAATCCCGACATTACAAAAATACAAATATAAGTTCTTCTTGATCAGGATTTTGAGCACAACTAGGTTTTGTTATTGCACCTTCAAGGAGCCAACAGTAGCAGTTTCTGGAATCTCTATAAAAAGCTCAGGCACCCTGAAAGACTTGATCCGCAGCCTCACTAAAGACAAACAAAAGAAAAACATCTCTACATTATACACTTTTCAACGAAACAATAGCAAACAAAGGATTCAGATCGAGACACCATTAATTACCATGATGGTCCCTTGACACAAAGGACGCATTTCGACTTTTCATGGAAGATATTGTTCTGCTTCCTGCGGATGAATTTGTAAAACTGTGTTACAACAGCAGAGACTTACAACATCCTAACAAGAGAATGAGAAGATGACAATGTTTAACCTTTACGTGTTTTTCCTTGCAAACGGTAATCATCAGAGTTCGAATCAGAAATACTGTCAAAGTATTTCCTTTTCTTGATGGGATAACTCCTCTGATAATGGTGCAAGTAATAACTCCTCTTTGAGCAATACCATGGCTTTGCATCTGCAAATACCCATACATCAAATCACAATATATTAGACAGCAAAACTAAACAAAAACACTAGTTAGGCAATTTTACCTGCGTTGTTCCTCGAACCTCCTTTCCAATGTCTAGATGCCAATATCTTCCTGATTCTTCTATCTCCAATACGAGGCACAGGCCTAGTCATACGAGGGCGAATGTACCCAGAGAAGTTTTCATCATCATCATTTCTACTAAATAAATTTACATCATCCCGAGAATCATGGGGATCACCGTTCCCACATGCTCCCACCTCGGTACTACTGTTACTACCTATACTAGCTACAATATCAGGCTTTACATCACCATTCACACCCGGATTAAGATTCTTACTAAAGTTTCTGACTTCACAAGAATCACTACCACCCAAGCTACTAAAACCCTCCACCTCCTTTTCTACTTTGTCACCTACCAACAAGTGATTAGGATTTGTTATCACAGAGCTAAATCCACACTGGCCATTGTCACATGGACCCGGGGATCGCTGATAAAGATTATCTTCCAAATAAGGTAACGCCTTTACGGGGTTTTCTTCAGCCGGGAATTCCTTCTTTACAGTATTTTGTACAACTACTACACACTTATCTCCACCCGCATTTACCGAACTTTCGCTCTCGAGTAGCAAGCTTCCAGCTACGGTGGCCAATAAGTCAATCGCGCACATCTTATCATCTCCTGGTATCTTCTTTTCGTAAATGCGCTTCTTCTAGCAAAATGTGAACAAAAATGCAAGTGATCATCAATTCATCATATAAACGGATCATCCATGTAACAGCTAAACAGAGAATATAGCAAAGAGCCATTTACCCGGACTGATCTCGGAGCTCGAGCTTGAGCAGGCAATTTGTAACCATCATCTCCAAATTCTAAGACTTTATGCGACACCATTACCTGGATGCATAACACAATGATGTGATTACCACACGCGAGAAGCAATGAATGAAACTCACGATCTGTATACAAGAAACAAGAACCATTAGACGACTCAATTCAAGAACAAAGAAACAAAACAATTCACAGATCGGTAAGATCTGGGTATCTGATAAACCATCCTAAAACCCTAATAAACACAAGATCCGAATTCAAGAACACAAAACGTAATTCAATTAGAAAAAAAGATTCGATCTTTGAATTAAAGGATAAACAACAGATCAACTTAACACAAAAAGAGAGACACTTCAAATTCTCAGATCGGAGTTCACAGATCGATGAATGAGAGAATTCTGATCATATAACAAAACGACAAATTTCAATCGAAGATGATGATGATAAGTTCAAAAAGATAACAAAAACCCTTTTAAGATCCAAACCAAAAGAACTTAAATTTGGAAATTCTAAAACCAAAATTCACATAAAAAAACGAATTTTTAAGTTTCTCGATGATCAAACAAACACAAAAACTTTCGACAAAATCAAGAACACAAAAACCATAAAAAAAAAAGTTTAAATCTTTCTCACCTTTCGATGAATCTTCAGTTCCAAGACAACAAAATAAATATGAAAAATTTGACAAATTCTCCAGAAAATGAGAGATCGGAGACGAAGGAATCAGATTTCTTCACACACTCAACCTAAAATCTTTCCTCTAACCCATGTTTTTAACCCAAGTGATATTTTTTTACTTGTATCAAACGCTACCTATATGATTTATTCTCTCTCACCACAAAGGATTTTCTCTTTACCAAATCTGTTTTTTCGATTACCAAATTAAAATAACAAAAACCCTTATAAGAACAACCACGTCTTTCTTGCTTAAACCCCCATAGCCATATGTAACTCAAACTACCGGAGCTACCGGTATTACCAGTCCCGTTGTTACCGGTTATAGCAAGTAAAAACATTCACCTAAAGACTCGGTTCTTTTCCCATGGTCGATGGCCCACTATACACTCGTAAGTCGTTAAGTCTTTAGATCTTGACACGTGGTTTTGATGTAGTCATCACATGGCTTTGGTCCGTAGCCTTTTGAGTAAATTACGTCTTGTCCACTGGTAATAATATTAGCAAAAAAAAATAGAAATTCATTTTGGGCAAAGAAAATGTATTTTTTGGTTTTCATAAGTTTTATTTTTAGTTTTTATTTGGAATATTCTTTTGTGCTTTTATGTTTTCCCTTTGTATTTTATTTTTTGAGATTTCTTTTTATGGGAAGTCAAATTCCCACAAATATTTATGTTTTAGGAATCACGTAAAAGATAAGATGGTCCCTAGTTTGCTATATTGTATAATTATGAGGTAGTCGATTCATATTCAATGATATTAAATAAAACTTAACATGGTATATGGATTCCAAAGTTTTAAAAGAATTTTTTTTTTGTTTTATAGTATTAGTTAATATTTTTAACTATTATTGCAAATTAATTAGTTATTTAATTAATTTTTATGAGTGATACTTTGTAAATTGTTTTATTAAAATTTATATTGAAAATGAATGTAATTTAAATTTATAAACAATATGAATCATTTTACATAGTAAATGTGACAAGAAAACTAAAACATATAGATTCGTTCTCGATCTTGAGTTTGTGGGATCCTTCTCCTCAACTACATATCCAATAAAAATAGGAAAAATATGTTGTCACTAGCATTAGCAAAGATCAAGTTTGTTTTCAAGAACTAAATCAGGTTGTGTGCACAATCACTCACAAACTAATTAATGCTTTGAATTTGTTTTGTCAGCTCTCAATATTGTCAAATATTTGTCAGCTCTAAATATTGTCAAATATGTCTACAGTCTACTCATATACACACTCTCATAATTTCACACGTCGATTTCTCTAACGTTTCACTCTCCATTTTAATAAATCTGATAAGGGACGAATTAAGTTAACAAAAGCTTGAGAAAAAAAATCAAAAAGTCAACATTTACGTACAAGTTCAAAATATTATATCCTGTGTTGGACACAAATTATTTTATTTAGCCCCACAATCATTAATTTGAAAAAGAAAAAAAGAAGGCCTACCCCATTTCCTAAATTACAAATAAAATAATTGTGTCATCTTATCCTATCTCGAAAAAGTTCGAAAGGATAAAAGGTGGGTGGTTTTGAATTTATATCATACAAACACCACCGTTCAATATTAAATTTGTTGGAAAAAAAGAAAGAATATTCTAATATAAATACAACCAAACATATGCGCAATTTCATGCATAGAATAGTATATACGTTACGTAATAAGAAAAAGTATATTTTATGTGTTTTGAGGATTTAGAGTACGATGGTAAAATTTTATAGACTTTTCACAAACTACTTGTAAAATTTAAGCTCAGTAAAGAGAACTAATCAAGTTTGCTTTCTTATATTATATGTGATATGGTCCGATTAATATCTAAGGTAATATTAAGGAATAGCCAAATAAAACACATAAAAAAAATAGTAGAGAAAGGTTTTTGTTGCAAAATAGCCATAAACTCATGTTGTCAGAAGATGTAAAATAACAAAATCATCCTTCGTTTGTTTCGAAATTAACAAAATAGCACGTAAAATCTGAATATTACATGTTATATTTAATTAAAAGACATGATATTTCATAAAACGTAGTGAATTTTTAAGAAAAAACATTGTTACGTAGTATTTTTTAAGAAAAAAACATTGTTATGGAAAATTTTAATTTGAATAGAATATTTTCTAAAGAAATAACATGTGATCTTAATAAAAACCATGTATTACTAAAAAATAAGAATCTTCTATAAAAGCAATCACATGTGATCTTAATAAAAAAAACGTGTATTACTACAAAATAACATGATAAAGAGAGATATGAAACTGAATAGAGTATTTTTTTTAAGAAATATCATGTGCTCTTTATAAATAACGTGTAATACGACAAAATAACATGATAAAAAGAGATATATTATTCTATCACATGTAATTCGAGAAAAAAGCGTGTTATAAATGATATATACATAATTACACGTGCTCTCCGACATGTTACCGACAAGTTACTGTAGCATATGGCTATTTTGTTAATTATCCTAAAAAATTGGGCTATTTTGTGCACTAACATCTAACATTGTCAAGAAACATTTAACTATCGTTATGGTTTTTATCTTTTTTAAGGGACATCAAATAGTCAATGAACTTTTCTAAATTTAAAGTCGTTAAATTACTTTTCTTTGAGATTTCAGTCAAATAATAAGGGCCTATCCATTTTATCAGTGGGTTTATCGTCAACACGAGCTTTTTCTTATGCCTAAACGCAACATTCGTTGTTACGTTTTCTTTTGAAACCCGTTATTTCGATGTAGATGTTATTTTTGGTAATTATTCATCTTCCACGCCGTCACAATTCTACGAATTTTGAGATGGAATTTTTTTGCTTAAGTCTAGAAAACAAACAATTAACTGATAAGTGCAAAAGGACCTTTTTTATCCACATAAGACAGAAAAGAATTATAATGACAAAAATGTTCTTAATCATTAACAAAAAGAAAATGTTCTTGATCATAGATCTAAAAAAGTCTATAGCGGCATATGAAAGCAATTTAAGCAAATGGATATAAAATTTAAAAAATTTCCATATATCTTCTCTAACTAAACGATTTTTACATAAATTAGGGGGATTGCTTTGCTCTTTTTTTGTTCAATGTTCAACAAAAAAAAATAACTAGGTAGTATTTGTGTTTTATTTATATTTTTCTCCTTGTGATATGTTCTGGTTCAAAGGTTTTGCATACTTTTAATGATTTAGGCGTATGAGGAAAGAAAAAATGATTTTGGGCGTGTAAGGAAAAAATAATATGCGTCTGCCGGGAGTCGAACCCGGGTCTATTGCTTGGAAGGCAATTATCCTAACCGTTGGACTACAGACGCTTTTGCTTTCAATTTCACTCTGTTATATTATAAAACGTAGATAAATTATGTCACTCATGTTTTCTTACATTCATTTACGCCAAAGGCAGAAGCAGCCTAGGTAGATAGAGCCTATGCATAACTGATCCTCCTCCAATCCACAGTTTAAAGCAGAGATAACTTAGAAGAGAAGTACCAAGCCTCGTGCTACTTTGTTACTAGCGAACTTTAGATTTCATAACTTTGTTACTAGCGGATTCTCTCAAAGGCAACAATATTGACATACATTGCCTTCAAATTATCTAAGAAAACGTTTAAAATGTAGATTACAACTCAAATTAAAGTGTTACTAAACTATCACTACTAAATTAACCTGCATTCCAACCAAAGATCAGTAAATACTAAGTAGATATGATTATCTAGCGGCTCGTGTTATTACATTTTGATGTGAGTTGCTGCAGCGATCTTTTAAAACATAGTTGTTCCGGCGTTTTGAGCGGTGACTAAAGTGAATGCTCTGCCCCAATCTTGGCTGACGGATTCTTGAATCTTGTAGTCCCCAATGAAAGGCAACCAAGCTTCTTCTGAATCGTTTATCCCAGTCCAAGTAACCTTCTCCGGCACATTCAGAAAATCAAAGTTCAACGGCTTTGGCGGTGGTTCATTAGCTTTTTTGTTGGATTTTGTCTGCCGCCTAATGCTTCCTCGACCTTCAGAATGCTACAAAAAATGTGCAAAGACAACAAGTTCAGGTAACGTAAGTCTCCGTTTAAACCTTAAGATAATGTCTACTAATAAAGCTGACTCACTTCGGAATGGGAGTCTCCGTTTTCCGCTTTCTTGACGGCTTTTTTAGGCGTACCGTGTTCCAAGTAGTACAAAACCTCGTTCTTGGACCGGAACTTACGACCCGTAATCGGTTCGTAGTAGAACTACATTACAAAACAAGACATCAAGCACTGCATTATCATATTCACACTCTCAACATCCTTCAAACAGAGCAATCTTCATCCAACAAACATACATTTTAGAAAAGAAACCACTAAATCTCTGTAACTTTATATTCTCTATACAGCAAAATTTCACTTAAGACTAGTTATCGTCTCCATATAAAAAAACCAATAAGATCATAATGTAATCTAACTTCAAGACCCAATTTCATGAAATCTTTGTACGGACGATTCTTTAGCAAACCTCATGAGCACAGAGCTAAAGAATTGAAAGAGAAGGGCATTGGAATTATCACCTTATCAACAGTACCAGCTTTAGTGCCAGAGGTTCGAACCCTAACTTCGGTTCTCCAATCAGGAGGAAGCCAATTATCATCCCCAGGCGTCGCACGCTTCCGTGACTTCAAATCCACCGGAGTAGCCGTGTTTTCCGGCGGTGGTTGAGCCTGATCTGTGCCGTTCGACATTTCCGGAACCAACCCAATTCAGATGGTCTGGGACGTGGCGTGATCTAACGGTGTGGAGGTCTCGAGAGAAAGGAATGCTAAAGCCTAAAAGATTGAGAGATTTCAAGATTCCTTTCTTTTTGACTGAAACAGAGTTTCTTAAAAAAAAGACAAAAGTACAATTGAGGGTTGCAGAACTTGTAACTATTACCTAATTAAACGCAGCGTTGAATTGAATTCGTAAAACGAAACTGTCGTGTTTTGTTTCTGTTTCTAAAGTTTGAGCTCGAGGAATGGCTTAATTAGCCACGTTGCAGTTTATCTTGTTTTTTAGGTTTTTGGGCCCATTTAATATGTGTCCACTCCAGTTTTAAGGTTAATTTATCTTCTTCTTGTGAATTAGAGTGGACAGAAAACATTGTAACCACAATCAAAATTGAAATTTGTGTAACTAATATAAATTAATGGGAATTTTGCCAAATGTGCCACATTTTGGGAAAATCTTAGCAAATGTACCACATTTGAAATGGATTTAGCATCCATACCATATTTGGTGTTTGTGTGGCAATTCTTGGACGATTTTGCCCTTCTCTGTGCGTCAGGTATGTGTCAGGGGAAGGAGCTACAGTAGACGCCGGTTGGGAAACGGGGACAACTTTGTGTCAGAAAAGGACAACTTTGTCTGAAAGACAACTCTGTGTCAGAGAAGAAGGACAAAACATTGCATTAAATGCAGTTTACATTTACCATGGACAATAATTATGAAATAGAGTGAATGATGTCCCCCAAGAATAAGTCCAGATCTCTTTATTGTCCATCGCCAAATGATGTGGTTTTACCAGCCAGAGATCTGGATTTACTCGGGGACAACTTCTCTTGATTGTCCATCGCCAGATGATGTGGTTTTACCAGCCAGAGATCTGAATTTACTCGGAGACAACTTGATCTTTATTTTATTCCGCCAGAGAGCCGAAGACGAAGATCTGGATTTACTCGGGGACAATTTTGTTTTACCAGCCAGAGGGAAAAAAAAGGTTCAATAATCCGGGTAAGTGAGGACAATATTGTTCGACTAATCTGTGGACCAAAATAGATGCCGAAAAATCTAAATAAAATTCAAAACCCTTAAACGAGAACAATTGGTAGACAAAATGTGGAATTCATGATAATAAAACAAAATGATGAATCGGGGACAAGATATGAACGCAACAGAGAATTCCCAATCGGGGACAAGATCTGAACAACAGTAGAGAATGTTTATATGAAAAAAAGTTTTGTCGTAAATGAGAGAAAGAACTAGACAAAGAGAGAGATAAAGTGAAAGTGAAAGAAATAAATAAAGAAAATAAAAATGTAACAACAAATAAAGAAAGAGGAAATTGTAGTTACCAATGTAGAGAAATAAAGGAAGGCAGAAAAGTCAGATGGGCACATCAACTACAGGTTTTGGTCTCTCATGTTGGAGGGTAAAATGGTCTTTACCAACGGCAATTGTGGTACAAGAGAAAAATGAGTATATGAAGTGGTAGAACCAAAAATGTTTCGGTGAAATGTGGTATTGCAGCTAATTTTCCCTAAATTAATTGCATAGATATTAGATTAATTATATTTTATTTTTTAAAATTATCCTTTTTACTAATACCTACTCAAACCATAAATCAAAACTAAATGTGTTTTTTTAAAAACAGAAGAAAAAACTGAAAGCCTTGCTTGAACAAATATATAGAAATTTTCTTAGACTACAAGATAATAAATATTATAACTTCTTAATATCACGAATTCGTCAGTCCGACATATGTCCCTTTTGTTAATCACCTAGGACTTCCATAGCCTAAGCTTATATAGCTTCATTTAATAGCTTTTCTATCCCTATTATGGTTTCAATTATCGAATGTAACTAATTTATGATCATTAATTTAATTAACTAAAATAATTATCAATTAATCAGCCACTCGCTCACGTAATGCTCCACAATCAAACCGAACATGATCTACTCCCAAAAAATAACTCCTAGTAAGTTTTGCTAAATTACGAAGAAGTTTCAATTAACTCTAATAAACTCATTCACGATATCATGTTGGGATCTGACGTTGTTCCTCAACTTCTCTTCCTAATTCTCACTCTCATCCTTCCCTTCTCCGCCGCATATCACGTCGGCGTAAACTACGGCACGGTGGCCAACAACCTCCCACCGCCTCACCAAGTCGTCAACTTCATCAAAACAAAAACAAACATCAACCACGTCAAAATCTTCGACACAAACCCCGACATCCTCGCCGCATTTTCCGGCATCACAGAAATCTCCCTCACCGTCACAATCCCAAACTCCGACATTGTTTCCCTCTCTAAGCTTCCAAACGCACGTTCATGGCTCTCCGACCACATCCTCCCCTTCCTTCCAACAACCTCAATCCGTTACATCGCTGTCGGAAACGAAGTCATAGCGACATCCGACAAAACTCTCATCACTCATCTCCTTCCGGCCATGGAATCGCTTACGTTAGCATTACACCTGGCTAATGTCACTGGGATCTTAGTCTCAACGCCTCACTCGCTCGGTATCCTCTCGGGCTCTTCGGAGCCACCTAGCTCCGGGAAGTTCCGTAATGGCTACGACAAAGCCATCTTCACTCCAATCCTTGACTTCCACAACCGCACAAAGTCTCCTTTTATGGTTAACCCGTACCCATATTTCGGTTTCGGACCCGAAACGCTAAACTACGCACTCTTTAACTCCAACGACTTCGTTTTCGTTGACCCGGTTACGAAGATGAACTACACCAACATGTTTGACGCTCAGCTTGATGCGGTATACTCCGCAATGAAACGGGTCGGGTACGGTGACGTGGACATCGTCGTGGCTGAGACGGGTTGGCCCTCGGCTGGTGAACCGAACCAGACTGGCGTCGGTTTAGATTATGCGGCAGCTTACAATGGGAACCTTATAAAGCATGTGAATTCTGGTAAGGGCACTCCATTGATGCCAAACCGGGTTTTCGAGACTTACATTTTTTCTCTCTTCAACGAAAATCTCAAATCTTCGGTTTCCGAGCAAAACTTCGGTTTGTTAAAACCAGACTTCACCCAGGTTTATGATGTCGGTATCATGAAAACAAATAAGGTACGCTTAGATTAGGGCTTCATTTTTTGTAATCAATTTCGAGATGTTTGACAATATTTATACAGTATTCTCCTATGTATAAAACGATGAAATGGTATTTTTGGTAACAGGAGCTGCACAAATTTTAGCGGCACAAAGAAGAAGCTCTCAAGCTTCTGGAGAGTTGTCTTCTTTGATAAAGATACATATGCCACCGAGGTACAAAATACTGTTCAATTTGTATTTGAATTATTTTTTATTAGTTTATGCAATTTAGTACTATCTACTTAATATTTTTGAAATACATTTTAAGAAAATCTAATCGGCTCGGAATTTTTTTAATTTTGACCCGGAAATTTTCAATCGGATCTTTTCTTAAATTTTGGCAAAATTCAAAAACGAAATTATTTAATAAAATCTAAAAAATATATATACTCTCAATTAATTACTATACCTAAATTCTTTATTTATGGAATATTTATTACGATTTTTATAGATAAGGAAATCAAATATGATGATTTAATGCTAATATAACAAATTTGAGCTAATTTCCTAAAAAACTCTCTACCTAATTTAAACATAATATATGATTCTCATTTCACTTTTATTTGATCTTCTATTTATATTATTTTGAATTATTATCAAATATATATAGTTAATAAAATTTTAGATTTTTTTTTTCTGCATATGCTATGATTCAAATTTTAAAAAACATATGCTTGGATTAATTTGCTCAAGACGGTCGATTCCATCGGTGTTATCTCCGGTGATCTTCCGCTTCGAGTACTTACCACGACCAATCTTCATCTTGGAGATCGGAGTTCTTGTCGAAAAAATAATACCACTCATCTTCCTTAAAAAAAGAAGTAGCAACCATGACTCCCTGGTATAAACATCTTTCATCACTATGAAGTGTCCGCAGTCTTCACCTCTTAGCTTCCGTTTAAGATAATCTTTGATGACTTCTTGGTTCGTTGGATCAAAGTGAATCCCTTCTTCTTTTTCGCAATATTCCATTGACGTCTTTATGGTTCTCAAGGATTAAAGTTTCTAGTGAGCTGAGAGATTAGTGTTTTTTTGTTTGCTCAGCGATTGTAAATTATGAAGAGAGATTAGTAATTGTGTATATATATATTGGTTATGTCCTAATTACAACATAGATTGGGATTCCTAATTTTTCTATTTTTTCGCAAAAAAAAAAAATCTACAATACAATATGATAAATTTAAATACTAAAAATTAACTTAAAATATGTTATTGTCTATATGCATATTTTACTAAAGTTAAATCAAAGATAATAGATTTACGGTGATTGTGAACATGATTTAGTAATTATACAACATCTAAATAAGATTAGGTGAAGAAAAGAAGTGAGCATAATTGTAAATTGAATTTTAACTTGTGAATAGTTTGTACAAAAAATCTTTACAAATTAATACTCGATTTAATAAATTTTTCCGGTCTCGAATCGGGGCAGTGTAATATTTAACATAATTCGATAAAATAATAAAATAAAAATTTGTTTGAAAATCTAATGTAACTATATGGTCCCATCAATATCATAAATTAATAATTTTATAAACTTATCAATATATATATATATATATAATATATGTAGAAAATTTAGTAAAATATGATTTTAGTATTGTTTGTTTTTCTTAAATATGAATTAGTTCTTCGTAAAGTTTACTTATAATATTTTACTATATCGAAATCTTTTTGTATTGTTTTCAAGGGATACTAATATTTTTTTTACTTGTACAGTATTTGGTTTTAAAAGAATATTGATTTCTATAAAAAAAAAGTGTCTTTTTCAGATTGACATTTTTTAAGAATTACAAAATTAACTAGAAATGTATAGAATTTAATTTTATTTATCGATAAATTAATATCTCTATAAATTAATAGAATTTCACGGTCTATTAATTTATAAAAATTTTACTTTATTTTGAGAAAATCGAATTTTACTTAATTGTATATAGAAAATCTGGTTTCCATACATAAATCTAAGTTACCATAATATTTTTGAATTGACACTTAAAATGATTATGAAAGAAGAAAGGCCGTAGGCCATTGTTTCAAATCCTATTACTAAGGCACGACCATTGTTATATAATAAACTTCAAGTATACAAGACCTCCAAAAACTTGAATTCTTAATTTACAATTATTTGCAGGGTTTAATTAACTTTCATTTGCAGGGTTGTCATCGGTATCATTAAAACAAATAAGGTACGCTTAGATTATACATTAGAGCTCAATTTTTGTTATCAAGTTTCAAGATGTTTAGCAATATTACACAGTATTCTCCTATGTATAAAAAACCAAATGGATACATCGACAATTTGTAATTTCTCAATGTAATATCGATATGGTATGACTTTTTTGTAGACTCCATTGAAATACAAATCAATATCAGAACTGGATTTAGTCAAAATAATTTCACAGTACAAGAGTTGATGTTCTAAAAAACAGTATCAGAGTAACCTGAACAACTAACAACCGGTTTATTCTGGTTTCGGACTCATTAACCGTACCAAAAACCAAACAGAAAAAGCAGACTATCAGTCTTGGGTTGGTGCGTTCTGATTGAGCTCAGCAAACCGCATACCAACACGCATCGTGTGCTTAAGGAACTTCTCAGCGCAACGCATAACACAAGTCTCCTCTTGTTTCTGCAGAGATTTGCGTGTGAAGCTATCAACACAGTCCACAAAACACCTCTCCACCAATGAATTGTACATCCTCAAGCTGAATGTCACCAAAACCACACAAAGTAGCAAAAGTTAAGGCCAAAACACAGAACAACTTTTGAAGAAAGACAAAAACTAATCAGTATACTCTTAGCTTCAATGTAAAACAACAAGCTACAGATTCAAGCAGGTTTTACTTAGTTTTTGAAAAGAGCAGACAACAAAACACAAAATGAGACAACACAATTATAACTTAAAGAAACAGTTTTTGAGACTCTTGATTCTATAGAAACCAAACCCCAAAATAGATAATTTCACTAACTCTAATTCAAAGTTTTATCAATGAACCATAAGAACACACGATACATTAACGATCCAAAATTCCTGAGCAAATCTAATAAAGAGTGAGACTTTTCCCTTAAATTAGCTATAAACTATAAGAACAAAGCTAAATGTCAAAAATTTTGAGATAATCCCAAATGAAAAACAGAGAAATCGATCTAAGTGACGAACCTATCACGGAGTTGAAGTTGATCGATCATGGAGGCCATTGTGGCTTTGTCTTCTTCAGGAAGACCATCAAGTCCAGCCATCATGCTCGCGTCCATTTTTTCGCAACTCTTACTTTCTTTCTTCGACTACAGATTCAATTCTTCATCGCCTCCTTGTTCTGCGTCTTAAGACTTAAACCCTAGCGATCTTCTTTACTGGGCCTTATGGGCTTTATTACTTAGACTTGATTAAAGTCTAATGTTTTTACTAGTTAGGCCCGGTACGAAATATATAATACTCGCCTACATACATACAGGTATCTACGTATGAAGTATGAACATATTGCTGTAAAAAAAAGAGGAAGAGCAAATGTACCTGGTTAAGTAAACCGGTTTGGCATACTTTCAAATCATGGATGCAAACCGACTATAAACCAACAAATTTAATGTGCAGATACCATTACATATTTTGAGATCTAACGATTAGGAAGTCCTTTTGATTAATCTTTGAAATACCAATTGAAATTTTGATAGATGACATTTGATTGACAGATCCACCCAAACTATATCGCATAGCTTTCTGTCTTTGAATTTGTTATTGGGGACAATATTTCACCATCATTTTTTTTCCTCATCAACATCATCAATGAATTTTAGCTATCAAACAATCATTTGATCAGAATTCTTTTTTTGTTAAGAAAGTATTTGATCATCGCCAACGTCGGATGACAAAATGAGAATTTATCGACCACAATTCACAAACACAAAAACAATTAAACAGTTATATAGTTAAAAACTAATACTTATAAATGTAAAATCTCAGAAACTAATTGAATTCTTCTAAATCAGTGTAAAAGCTACTCTCTACGATTGATAAAAGTTTCCGTAGTCGGCTATGCACAATGGTTACCTCCGACATTAGAATCGTTTTAAATTTTTAAAATCTTTCTAATACTTTCGAATCATTTGATTTTAATGTTGCACTAATTGTAAAACAGGTTTTTTTAGTCAATACAATTTTATATTCATATAAAAAATTCAAATACTCCACTAAACATGAAGTAAAAAACAATCTAAACGGTAATCCTAATTCTATATTTCTCTAATCCAAATAATTGTATTGTACTATTGTTGATCAAAATTAACAGATTACAGCTTCACAGCTATAAAACTCACATGCAAACGAAAAAAACTTTAATGACATTATTATTAAAAAACTATACCCCACGCGGGCACCATACAAATATAAATTATTTAATTTCAATCAAATAATCTTCTCACCAAAATCTAATCACTACAAGACTAGAAGTGTCCACAAAAGCATCTCTCTTTCTGACACAATGACATCTGTTTTGTCCTACGCGTGCACGTCAAACTCCAAAACACCGCGCGTCATACAATTCCCAAAGATGTCTCCAATTTTAATTTCGTCCACCAAACTTCACTCACACACCACTCCCTTCTCTCTATCCACTCACTTCCTTCCTCCTCTGTGTTTCTTCTCTTTACCAATCTCATGACCTAACTCAAAAATAATGGCGAACGTAATTTCAATTTCCCATTTTACCCTTCTCGCATTACCTTATTTACTTCTCCTCTTATCCTCCACCGTCGCCGCCATCAACGTCACCGCCGTCCTCTCCTCATTCCCTAACCTCTCATCTTTCTCTAACCTCCTCGTCTCCTCCGGCATCGCCGCTGAGCTTTCCGGTAGGAACTCATTAACCCTCCTCGCCGTTCCCAATTCTCAATTCTCCTCCGCCACCTTGGACCTCACGCGCCGCCTACCTCCTTCAGCGCTCGCAGATCTCCTCCGCTTCCATGTCCTTCTCCAGTTCCTCTCAGATTCCGATCTCCGACGTATCCCACCGTCAGGCTCCGCCGTCACTACTCTCTACGAAGCTTCCGGTCGTACATTCTTTGGATCTGGATCCGTTAACGTCACCCGTGACCCGGCTTCAGGATCCGTCTCGATCGGATCTCCAGCCACCAAAACCGTCACTGTGTTAAAGCTTCTCGAGACCAAACCTCCCAACATAACCGTCCTCACCGTCGACTCCCTCATTGTCCCCACCGGAATAGATATCACCGCCTCGGAGACTCTCACTCCACCGCCGACATCAACATCTCTCTCCCCTCCTCCGGCGGGAATCAACCTCACTCAGATTCTAATCAACGGCCACAACTTCAACGTCGCTCTCTCTCTCCTCGTCGCCTCCGGAGTCATAACAGAATTCGAAAACGACGAACGTGGCGCCGGAATTACAGTCTTCGTCCCCACCGACTCCGCCTTCTCCGATCTCCCGTCCAATGTCAACCTCCAGTCTTTACCGGCGGCGCAAAAAGCCTTCGTGTTAAAATTCCATGTCCTACATTCATACTACACTCTCGGTTCGCTAGAATCAATAACCAATCCGGTTCAACCGACATTAGCCACTGAAGAAATGGGAGCCGGTTCTTACACTCTCAACATCTCCCGGGTTAACGGGTCAATCGTGACGATCAATTCGGGTGTGGTTTTAGCTGTTGTGACTCAAACGGCTTTTGATCAAAACCCGGTTTCTGTTTTTGGAGTATCCAAAGTTCTTTTGCCTAAAGAACTGTTTCCAAAATCGGGTCAACCCGTTGCAACAGCTCCTCCACATGAGATATCTTTGTCGCCGGAGAGTTCGAGATTAGTATCACCACCGCGTGAGATAGTTTCTTCCGGCGCGGTTAAAACAACACTTGGTTTCTTGGCCTTGTGGTGTTGGTGTATAGCATTTTGTTATGTTTTGGTATGATTTTTTTTTCTTCTTTTATCACATAATGTGTTTTGTCTTCGATTAGGGCTTTATTTATTTTTACTGGATTTTTTTCACAAGGGGTTTATATTTATTTTACGTCATAATGTTATTTTATTCGAGTCGAGGTAAAAACAAATTCACTTTCCCATGTAAATTTGAATTGGTTGGGCGATTTTGGGTAAAACCCATGTCTATAAAATCCTTCATTTTCTCTTTTGGTATACGAATCTCTAATTTAAATACAAATAGATTTTTAGAAGTGGTGATTTTTTTTCTAAAAAAGTTTGTAATAAGAATGGAATCTAAATCAGTGAATTAGCTCAGCGGAATAATATACAGTGAGTGCGTGACAGGTGCAGTTGTAGGTCCCACCAAGTTGACACCAACGGTCCAGATCTGCTATCTCTCAGGTCAATTTCTCGCTAGATTTTCGGGTTGTCCATAGCCGTCGGATCTTCAGATCTCAGTTTCATCAGCGCGCGTGTGGATGTGTACGGCCAGATCTAACTCTACCTTATTCACTTCACTTCACACTGACTCGGTGAAAGAGAAGAGAGTCATTAATCCCCTGTGGTCGCTCACACACTACTACCGTAAGTCCGTACTAATTACTAAACCGTTTTTTTGATTAATCCTTTTTCTTTTTAGAAACGCATTTCTCTATTGAAAATAGTCAAAATACAAGAATTATTCGTTTTCAAGATATTACATTTTGGAACTTTTATGTCTTCTTATGAATTTATGAGTTATAAAATGATTCACTGTCAGATTGGTTAGGGAAATTGATGTAGAATTTATGGTAATTGGTGGTACTATAGTGCTTGACTTTTCCAATGTAAAACGATCAACGATCAACGATCATTCAAATTTTCAAACTTGTGGACCTTTTTGGGATCACAGATTTGGACTTTTCTTGATTATATTAAAGATTTTTTTGTCCCTATATTCAATGACCAATCTAGAATTCATCTGTTTTTGAACTAACCCAACACTAAAAAATAGATTCAAATCATCTCTCATCTTTCTCTCATATGGTTCTTGAGAATACTTTGAAGAAAGATGTCAATGATGAGCAAAAACAGAAGCAGCATCGCCATGGGAACACCATCGTTCCTTGAGTTGAAGAAACAAGCTTCTTTTTTCTTCAAAGAGAAGCTTAAAACGGCGCGTTTAGCTCTCACCGATGTCACTCCTCTTCAACTGTTAGTTTTTTTTTTCTTTTCTTTTGTTGTTATGCAATCATACTATAGATTTATGTATATGTAAATATGATTTGAATAATTTGGTTGAAGAATGACTGAGGAAGCTACGGATGGTGAGTCATGTGGACCAAATACACAAACCTTAGGAACCATTTCAAAGGCCGCTTTCGAGTTTGAAGATTACTTGGCCATTGTCGAAGTCTTGCACAAAAGGTTACATAACTTGTGATTAATCGATACATTTTACTTAAACAAGGCATGCTATGTATTCTATTACTGAGATATGGAGCATTGTTTTGTTGTTGTTGTTTGGTGTAAATTAGATTGGCAAGGTTCGATAAGAGAAACTGGAGAATGGCTTATAACTCACTCATAGTTGTTGAGCATTTGCTCACTCATGGACCAGAGAGTGTTTCCGATGAGTTTCAAGGCGATAGAGATGTTATCTCCCAAATGCAAACTTTCCAACAGATCGATGAGAAAGGGTAATGGTTTTAGCGTTTGAAGGCAGATCATGTTTGGTATGAACATAGTTTCAATGTTCTGAGACTATAAGTTTTGTTTGTTGGTAGGTTTAATTGGGGATTAGCGGTTAGAAAGAAAGCAGAGAAGGTTTTAAAGCTACTTGAGAAAGGGGAACTTCTGAAGGAAGAAAGGAAACGAGCTCGTGAGCTGTCTCGAGGGATTCAAGGTTTTGGTAGCTTCAACCACAAGTCTGAATCTCATTGTATGTCAGAGAATGAAGTCTTGAAAGAATCTGCAGTCTATAGGAAATGCAATTCCAACTTTACCAAGAAGGACAATGAGGATGAACAAGAGAACAATATGGTTTCTCCTAATGACGCCGATAACTTTCCTCAGCCGCTGGTAACTGACCCGAGGGAGGAATCTAGGACGGGTATGAAAGAAAATATGGATCCTGAAGATGATGAGAACACAGAGGTAAACCCACTTTTGGGTTCTCTTAAAAAGGAAGGTCAAGAACTAGCCGGAGAAGACGAGAACCATCCATTTACGGATGGCGAGAGTAAGCATACAGTAGTCTCATTGCTTGATGAGAACACAGATTGAAATTTTTAAAATGAAATCGCGGTCTGTATAAGAGAAAAAACTCAAGAAGAAGATAATGTGTGTATACCAATATGTATGCATATATATAATAATAACACTTCTGTTAATGACTAATCTGTTTTCAACTTGCTTTGTTGCAAAAGAGATATTAAAATGAACAATGAAGGAAGAATAAAAGAACACACGTATAGAGAAGATTTAAGTAACTATAGCAATTGGCTAAAGAATGAAAACAATGATATCAAAGTTTTTACTGCACTTGTTTTACTTGGTATTTCACATCTGCAAATTTGGAACACACACTTTTGTCACAATATATCACACAGTTATACACAAAAGCACTCAACTATAATATAAGACAAGTATGGCGTTTATGACCCACTCGTAGTTTTTGAGCATTTTCTCACTCACGGACCAGAGAAAACGTTTCTTATGAGTTTCAAGGTGATAGAGATGTTATCTCCAAAACGCAAACTTTCCAACAGATCAACTAGAAAAGTTACTTGTTTTAGGGTTTTAAGGTCAATCCTATATGTTTGGTGTGAAGTGTGAACAAAAATCTTTAGACCCTAAAACCCTAAACTTTAACAAATACATAAATCTCAGCCAAAATGTGAGGCGAATTTTCCAAGTGTCAACTTGTGATTATAAATGACAATTCAAAATTAGACAATTTCAACATACATATATGGAAAATTGAAACTTCCACGAAAGATTGTATGACAAGTTGAGAAATGAGAATTTATATTGGTCCCACGTCCACGTGAATTATTTCGGACATAATTACAAACTATGCATAGTTTCAAAATTTCATTCCAACAAGTCAAGTACTACGGTTTCTGAAATAAAGTTGACAGAAAGAAAGAGTACATTTCTTCAATCTTGTGCTTACTGTAATATCCAAAAGATTGAAGAAATGTACTCTTTCTTGCTTTGTTGATCTGTTTTTAACTTGCTTTGTTGCAAAAGAGGGGTTAAAATGAACAATGAAGGAAGAATAAAAGAACACACATAGAGAAGATTTAAGTAACTATGGCAATTGTCTAAAAAATGAATAAATGATATCAAAGTTTTTACCGCACTTGTTTTACTTGGTATTTTGATCAGAAGCATTTCCTGTGGTCTGTGGACGAGCCATATCCGTCATACTAGGCTTTCCTAATTCACATATGCAAATTTGGAACACACATGTTGTATCAATTTATTACACAGTTTATACACAAAAACACTCAAAACTATAATACTCCCTCCGTATTTTAATAATTGTCGTTTTAGGATTTTATTTTTTTTAAAAATAGATGTCGTTTTCAAATTTCAATGCAAAATTTCTTACTTTTTAATGTTTTATGATGTCATAAAACATAAAAAAGTAAGAAATTTTGCATAGAAATTTGAAAACGACATCCAATTCAAAAAAATAAAAATTCTAAAACGACAATTATTAAAATACGGAGGGAGTATAAGACAAGTATGACGTTTATGACTCACTCGTAGTTTTTGAGCATTTGCTCACTCACGGACCAGAGAAATTTTTTTCTTATGATAGAGATGTGATCATACATGACAGTTCACAATATATGTGAAAAATTGAAACTTCCACGAAAGATTGTATGACAAGTTGAGAAATGAGAATTTATATTGGTCCCACGTCCACGTGAATTATTTTGGACATAATTACAAACTATGCATAGTTTCGAGATAATGTAGGAGAGGTCGAAATTTCATACCAACAAGTCAAGTACGACGGTTTCTGAAATAAAGAAACAAAACATTTCTTCAATCTTGTGCTTACTGTGATATCCGTAGATTCAACTCGATATTGTGAAGATGGTAGATGCGATCACGGAGTTCGTTGTGGGAAAGATCGGCAACTATCTCATTGAAGAAGCATCAATGTTGATGGGAGTCAAAGACGATCTAGAGGAGCTGAAGAGGGAGTTGACGTGCATCCAAGGTTATCTCAGGGACGTTGAAGCGAGAGAAAGAGAAGATGAAGTCTCAAAAGAGTGGACAAAACTAGTTTTAGATTTCGCTTATGACGTCGAGGATGTTTTGGACACTTATCACATGAAACTCGAGGAAAGATCACAAAGGCGAGGTTTGAGGAGATTGACCAACAAAATAGGCAGGAAGATAGATGCGTACAACGTAGTTGATGATATCAGAATCCTCAAGAGAAGAATCTTGGATATCACTCGCAAGAGGGAGACTTATGGTATAGGAAGCTTAAAAGAGCCTCAGGAAAGAGGGAATACTTCAAGTTTGAGAGTTAGGCAGCTTCGGCGTGCTCGATCTGTTGATCAGGAAGAGCTTGTAGTTGGTTTGGAAGATGATGCTAAGATTCTTTTGGCAAAGCTTCTCGATGTTAGAGAGTACAATAGATTTATTATCTCGATCTTCGGTATGGGAGGTCTCGGAAAGACTGCACTTGCTAGGAAGCTCTACAACTCAGAAGATGTGAAGAGCAGATTCGAATACCGTGCGTGGACTTATGTTTCTCAAGAGTATAAAACTGGAGATATACTTATGAGAATCATTACATCTTTGGGAATGACTTCAGGGGAAGAGTTGGAAAAGATCAGAAAGTTTGCAGAGGAGCAACTAGAAGTTTACCTTCACGGTCTTCTAGAAGGGAAAAAATATTTGGTGGTGGTGGATGATATATGGGAGCGAGAAGCGTGGGAGAGCTTAAAGAGAGCGTTACCTTGCAACCATGAAGGAAGTAAAGTCATCATCACTACGCGTATTAGAGCCGTGGCTGAAGGCGTGGACGGGAGATTCTATGCTCATAAGTTAAGGTTCTTGACGTTTGAGGAAAGCTGGAAGTTGTTTGAACAGAAAGCATTCAGGAATACGGAATGGGTTGATGAAGATTTGCTGAAAACCGGAAAAGAAATGGTTCAAAAATGCAGAGGATTACCACTTTGTATAGTCGTTCTTGCGGGGCTTTTGTCGAGGAAGAGACCAAGTGAGTGGAATGATGTGTGTAACAGTTTATGGAGACGCCTAAAGGATGACTCCATTCATGTTTCCACTGTGTTTGATCTAAGCTTCAAGGATATGCGGCATGAGTCCAAACTCTGTTTTCTGTACCTTAGTATCTTCCCTGAGGACCACGAGATAGATATAGAGAAGTTGATATGGTTACTTGTAGCAGAAGGGTTTATAAAAGAGGATGAAGAGATGATGATGGAAGATGTGGCTAGGTACTACATCGAAGAGCTGATAGACAGAAGCTTACTGGAAGCAGTGAGAAGAGAAAGAGGAAAAGTGATGTCTTGTAGAATCCATGATCTTCTTAGAGATGTGGCTATCGAGAAATCTAAAGAGCTCAACTTTGTAAACGTTTATAACGATCATGTGGCCCAACATTCTTCTACTACTTGCAGAAGGGAAGTGGTTCACCATCAGATCAATAGATACTTATCTGAGAAACACTGGAACAAACGGATGCGATCCTTCTTATTCTTTGGAGAATCAGAGGATTCACGTGATCTTGAAACCATTTACTTAAATTTGAAGCTACTTCGAGTGCTTGATCTCGGAGGGGTTCGGTTTGCTTGGGAAGAAGGGAAGAGGAGTTTACCAGAAGTGATTGGGGATCTGATCCACTTGAGGTACCTTGGAATTGCTGATACTTTTCACAGCAATTTACCATCTTTTATCTCCAACTTACGGTTTCTACAAACACTAGATTCATCTGGCAATTTTACCAAAGTCGATCTCCGTCATATCACATCATTAAGACATGTCATAGGAAATTTCGCTGGAGAATTATTATTAGGCGAAAGCGTTAACCTTCAGACCTTGAGGTCTATCTCCTCTTACAGCTGGAGCAAACTAAAACATGAGTTGCTCATAAATCTTCGGGACTTGGAGATCTATGTAGGTTTTGCTACAGGAGTTCCTGTGAAATGGGCTTCCTTGACTAAACTGAGAAATCTTCGTGTTTTGAGGCTGGTGGGGACGGACGATATCCCTTTATCATTGGAATCGGAAGAAGCAGTTAGGTCCATGGATGTGATATCACCCACTCTTGAATCTGTGACACTTGTTAGAATAAATCTCAACGAAGACCCAGAAAATGCCGAGACTTGAAGATCTGATCTTGGAAAAATGTTATTACTCGGGAGAGAAGATGAGCATCAGCGAACAAGGTTTTGGTCGGCTGAGGAAGCTTCAATTGTTCATGGAAGGTTTAGATGAGTTGCAGATCGAAGAAGAGGCCATGCCCCATTTGATACAGCTGAAACTACGTTCCAAGAGAGTAGAAACAAAGCTGATTGATTATTCCAAACCGATTGCGAGCGTTTATTCACATCACTTGAAGTATTCGCTACAAGAAACGGGGGAACATGTGAACCAGGCCTTAAGATTTATGTCTTCGTCATTTTATCCTAGATATCTTTTACTATCAAATCTGCTACATAATTTCACAGAGTGTGTAGATTTTTTAAAGCTTTTGAATCAGTACCAATTTACGCACCACTTGTTAACATTTACTGCTGCAAAGAGATTTACGGCCACGCAGATGCAGGTCGTCACAAGACTAGAAAAGAAGTTGAACTTCATGAACTAGTAGTAGTCAGTAGAGATCATTAAATTGTATAGAAATTTACAAACTACATGTTTTTTTTGTGCAATTGATAAAAAAACAATTTTAAGATTGAATTTCTGCATCAGAGAAAACAATTTGTAGCATCTTTTGTTTTTCTTTGGTTACATATACTAAATATATTGATGAATCAATAGAAGCAGAGACAAAGAGGAAGTTAAACTCAGAAGAAGATTATGTGTGTATACCAATATGTATACATATATATAATAATAACATTCTGTTAATGACTGCTCTGTTTTTTTTTAAACTTGTTTTGTTGCAATAGAGAGATTAAAAATGAACAATGAGGGAGAAGAATAAAAGAACACAAATATAGAAGTTGTAAGTAATTATAGCAACTGGCTTCAGGGTGAAAAAATGGTAATCAAAATTTTTACCGCTCTTGTTTTACTTGGTGAGTTTTGATCAGAAGCATTTCCTGTGGACGATCGACGGTCCAGATTCATCATACTCGGCTTTCGCAATCCACATCTACAAATTTGAAACATAGTTTTTGTAACAATGTATACATCAAAACACTAATAGACTTTTTGTATTAATCATATTTGTGTTTATAAGTATAGTAAGTAATTTACCTGCTGGAAAGTACTGAGGGAGGCCAAGATAGAGCCACCGATCCAAACACTGTACTTCCTTTCCGGTGGAGCCACCACTTTGATCTTCATACTGCTTGGAGCCAACGCGGTGATCTCTTTACTCATCCTGTCACCAATCCCGCCGAACATTGTGGTTCCACCACTGAGCACAATGTTTCCATAAAGATCCTTCCTAATATCCACATCACATTTCATGATTGAGTTGTAAGTAGTTTCATGGATTCCCGGATTTTCCATTCCGATCATCGATGGCTGGAACAGAACTTCAGGGCACCGGAAACGCTCTGCCCCGATGGTTATCACTTGACCGTCTGGTAGCTCGAAGCTCTTCTCGACGGATGAGCTTGTTTTGGAAGTTTCGAGCTCTTGCTCGTAGTCCAAGGCAATGTAAGAGAGCTTCTCCTTCATGTCTCTAACAATCTCACGCTCAGCAGTTGTGGTGAAGGAGTAACCACGCTCTGTCAGGATTTTCATGAGGTGGTCGGTAAGATCACGACCTGCAAGATCAAGACGCAGGATTGCGTGTGGAAGTGCATAACCCTCGTAGATTGGTACCGTGTGGCTCACACCATCTCCAGAGTCCAAAACAATACCTAACCAACAAAATAAAAATAATGAGAGCAAAATCGAATCGAACCAAACCGAATTTTATTTAAACAAACGGTAAAAATGTACTGACCAGTAGTACGGCCACTGGCATAGAGGGAGAGAACAGCTTGAATGGCAACATACATAGCAGGAGTGTTAAATGTTTCAAACATGATCTGTGTCATCTTCTCACGGTTAGCCTTCGGATTAAGCGGCGCTTCGGTTAGCAGAACCGGATGCTCTTCTGGCGCAACACGAAGCTCATTGTAGAAAGTGTGATGCCAAATCTTCTCCATATCATCCCAATTGTTAACAATACCATGTTCAATTGGATACTTGAGAGTCAAGATACCACGTTTCGACTGTGCTTCGTCTCCAACATATGCATCCTTTTGTCCCATTCCAACCATCACTCCCGTGTGTCGTGGACGCCCAACGATACTTGGGAATACAGCTCTTGGAGCATCATCACCTGCAAAACCGGCCTACACGCACATAGTTGAATTGCTTAACTTATGGCACATAATAACATTCACAAATCTTGTTTATGTTAATCATCTTGAGAAGCTTTTTTAATTACCTTGACCATTCCAGTCCCGTTATCGCATACGAGCGGCTGAATATCTTCACCGTCCGCCATTTTTCAATCTCTAGCTGATTACATCAACAGAAGAAACAGAACAATTATGCGTCCAAATTCAAAGAAATCAGACAAAAACACTAATGGTTGATGCCAATCTCATAACTTAATCTAAAACATTTATATGTAACCATTAAATCTAATTCGTTACGTGTACCAAAATCTACACAGTAGCGTTACATTTATTTTGGTTTTGACTTCTTCAAGATAATCAAAGTTTTGACAACAAAGAAAATAAGATCTACCTGATGAATTTACGTAGAAGAAGAGAAAAGAGGCTTCACGAGTCTGAAACACCTCGGCCTGAAATTGGTTTTCAAAAATTTCTGGAAAACAGAAGCAACTTTGGCCCTTAATATCGTTCATACACGGATCTGAGCCGTTAGTTTTCGTCCTTGAGACCAATATCTCAGCCTCTACCGACACGTGTCTATCTATTTTGGGGTTGGAGAATTAAGAGAACACCAGCCTGACCTGAAAATACGGTTTCAGGCTCTGTTTTTACCGGAAGAATCGGGTCACCGAACAAGCATGATTGATAATGAGCCCATTTGGGCCTTGGAAAAGTAAAGTTTAAAGGCCATCGCTTTGAAGTTTGTTTTGTAATTTACAAGTATATCAAAAATATTATTGCATTCCATTTTCTTTGAATTTATTAAATTTTAGACAATCAATGAGACAAAAAAGAATTTTAAACATGAATGACATATTATTTATTTTCAGTAACATCTCTTTTTCTAGTAATTTACTACTCTCTACGTTCTCTGAAACATCCTATAAAAGGAAACTGAGGGAGTATTTCTTCTGAAATTTCAGTGCTCTCTAATAGAGTGTTATCCAAACTATAATTAAAAAAGAGAGTAAAAGATCTTAGTGGGTGAGGTATGGGAAATTGCTGAAAAAGTTTTGGGAAGAATGAGTGTAATGATGATTGCGGTAATTGACAAATGTGATAATGATGATGGGGATATGGGGAAGTAAAATAATTAAGCATGTGCATGAGATTTAATTATTTGACATGAGATTTTTTTTTTTTGATAATTAAGAAAACCAAATGGGATGGTTTAAAACATCTATCAAAGCATTTGTTTTTTTCTAAACCATATCTCAATTTGCAAAACTGATATACAAATTCCATTTTTTTTTATAAATAAGTGGATCCTAAACCACAAAAGTCTACTTTTGTTCATCTCTTTCCATTTTTTTCTTAATTAAACCTTCTGATTACGACGAATAAATTTTTCTTCTTACGATTTCTTATTTCTAACCATTTTGGTAGCTTTATTTAGTTTCATTATTTGAGTGACAAACACCCACCATTCACATATTTACTAGAGACCTTCAAACTTTTTATGAAAGTTACAATATAGAATTCGATTGGTAATACAAAATAGTATGAGTTTTTAAAGATAAAAAAATTTATAGAAATAATTAAAAATAGTAAGATATAGCGGTACAAATAAGCTGATTTACACTTCCTACCGTAATAATACATAGTTACCAATTAAAACCATAATTTTTATACTCCCTCCGTTTCACAAAGATTGTCGTTCTAGAGTTATTTTTTTTGTTTCAAAAAGAATATCGTTTTACATTTTCAAGGCAACTTTTATAACTAATTTCTAGATTTGCCTCTTATCCAAAACTAAAATCTTTTGTATTTAAATTATTAAGGGTGTATTGAATAAGAGTATGTTTGTATATTTAACTCATTTCTTAATATGTGTGAAATGTGTCAAAATAACACTTTTTGTGAAACAGAGAGAGAGACTATTTTAGAAGCAAATTGTTAACACCCCAATATTCCTGTGTTTTTTGCGGTTATTTGTAAGGGAATTCATTTTTTATCGATTGAATATATGGTGAATCAATCCCAATCAAGAAAACAAATTGACTTTTGGGTATAGGGGTTAGGAACTTTGGAGACAGAGGGGTTGATTATGAGATTGAATTTTGACTTTTCTGTGTATTTAACTTTTCTGTGTATTTAACTTTTCTGTGTATTTAACTTTTAGCTTCCAATCAAAGCAAACATTTATCCATATTGTCATGTTGATCGCTGCACTTATCTAACAATAGTATTATTCCCTTTTCTAGGTATATAGATCTCTCTATAAGAATAAACATTTATCTAAAAAGCTTAATACCTTACCTAATTTCAAGAAACATGTAGAGTAGAAACAAGTAGAAAAAAGTTTAAAAGGAAAAGGATTAGATCAAAAGAAATAACTATATTGGGATAATTCGTTGTCCAGTTTGAACTAATGTTAGTTTTTTAAACATTTTCTTGCATATGATTAGAGAGAGGTATCAGTTTTTTAATTTTTTAATTATCGCTAAATCCAAAAGTATAAATTCATCAACAACTTTATTCTTCTATGACACCCAAAAAAATGTTAACAACTTTTAGAGATGTTAAAAGAATAAACGATTACAAATTCATTAGATATCCATAAAAATCCGTATATTCAATTGAATAATCGATTCGATCATTAGAACAATTTAAAATTAAAATAAGTGAAAAAATCCAAAAATGGTAATATTATAAAATTCAAAAAACGATAATGTGAGAATTTTTCACAGTATAAATGAAAATATTATATTCATAAAAAAATCATTTAAAAAATACTTTAAAATATTTATATCAGGAAAAAACAAATACAATCTTAACCGGTCCCGGTCTGAAACAATCACAGTCCGGTTTAGAGCAGCCGAGAGAGAATCGTACAACTTGCAAATAAGCTAAAGCCGTCAGCTAAAACGTCGCCGTTTTGGAAAAGTCCTCGCTTCTTCTTCTTCTCTCCTCTTTCTCAGAAATCTCTCTCTTCGCACTTTCTGCAAATGGTTCTCTTCTTCCTTTAAGCTCAATCTCGCCACTATAAGTCTCAATCGGGAAACATCTCCATCTTCTTCGGAGAATAATCGGATCCGTAAATCGTGATTTTGAAAAGAGAGAGAAGAATCAATCAATGGAGGAAGATAAAGCTTCTGCTGCACAGAGCTTAATCGATGTAGTTAACGAGATTGCTACAATTTCCGATTATCGTATTACGGTGAAGAAGATTTGTTATAATCTAGCGAGGAGATTGAAGCTGCTTGTTCCTATGTTTGAGGAAATTAAAGAGAGTAACGAACCGATCAGCGAAGATACGTTGAGGACTTTGATGAATTTGAAGGAAGCTATGTGTTCAGCGAAGGATTATCTCAAATTTTGTAGCCAAGGGAGCAAGATTTATCTGGTGCGTTTCTCTTTCGATTTATTGGTATCTTGATTAGATCTGTGTGGTCACTGAGAATTTTTGTTGATTAATGGAAAAGTTTGACGAATTGGTGGTTTCATTGAATGAGAGAGCCACGTGCTTTGTTTGGCTATGGTAGTGTTTGAGTGATATCAATGCTTGTTGGTATTTGATTAGATGTTAGATTTGGTGTTTAAGCTGGTGTGTGACTGGAGTTTTTTTGGTAGTGGTTGATGTGATTTGATTGATCTATAATCTATTTGTAGTTGTTGAGAATTTGTGCTCTGATACAGAAGATTGACATGAGTGATGTTCTTGTTCTGTTTGTGTAGGTGATGGAGAGGGAACAAGTGACAAGTAAATTGATGGAGGTGTCTGTTAAGTTAGAACAATCTTTGAGCCAGATTCCGTATGAGGATCTCGATATATCGGATGAAGTTAGAGAACAGGTAAATTCTTGAACCCGAGGCGGGGGAGGCTAGTGTCTGGATCAGTAAAGACTTGTAGTTTCTAAATGACGTAGGACTTGAATCAGGATTCAAGAAATGTCTGGCTTGTCTAACATAAATGACTACATCTTTCAAATCATTAAGATATGGAAATCTTAGGACCTGTTTGGATGTGTATTGAATCCAATTGTAATGAGCAAAGGATATGGGGGTTAAAAAAATTCGGATATATGCATAATTCGTAGCGTTTTGTTGTTGCAGGTTGAGCTGGTCCTCAGCCAGTTTCGGCGGGCTAAAGGAAGAGTAGATGTGTCAGACGATGAACTATATGAAGATCTTCAGTCGCTGTGCAACAAAAGTAGTGATGTAGATGCTTGTCAGCCTGCCTTGGAGCGGGTTGCGAAGAAGTTACAGTTGATGGAGATTCCTGACCTAGCTCAAGAATCAGTGGCTCTGCACGAAGTGGTTGCTTCAAGTGGCGGAGACGCTGGTGAAAACATTGAGGAGATGGCAATGGTACTAAAGATGATTAAGGATTTTGTGCAGACGGAGGATGACAACGGCGAGGAGCCGAAAGTAGGAGTTAACTCGAGAAGCAATGGACAAACTTCTACGGCAGCGAGTCAGAAAATACCCGTGATTCCTGATGATTTCCGTTGTCCGATATCGCTGGAAATGATGAGAGATCCAGTTATTGTTTCATCAGGGCAGGTAAAGTTCGCTTCAACCTCAGCTTCGTCAAATTTATTTCTGCGATCTCTTAAGATGTAATTATAGAAGCATGCTCTCCTCTATGTATAGACCTACGAACGCACCTGCATTGAGAAGTGGATAGAAGGTGGACACTCAACATGTCCAAAAACACAGCAGGCGCTAACAAGCACAACCCTCACACCAAACTATGTTCTCCGTAGTCTCATAGCTCAGTGGTGCGAGGCCAACGATATTGAGCCTCCAAAGCCTCCAAGCAGTTTAAGACCCAGAAAAGTATCGTCCTTCTCGTCTCCAGCAGAAGCAAACAAGATTGAAGATCTTATGTGGAGACTCGCGTACGGAAACCCCGAGGACCAACGATCTGCAGCTGGGGAAATCCGCCTTCTTGCAAAACGAAATGCAGACAACCGTGTGGCCATAGCTGAAGCTGGAGCCATACCTCTTCTCGTAGGCCTCCTCTCAACTCCTGATTCTCGTATCCAAGAACATTCAGTAACAGCTCTTCTAAACCTCTCCATATGTGAGAACAACAAAGGAGCCATTGTTTCAGCTGGAGCTATTCCTGGTATAGTTCAAGTGCTCAAGAAAGGAAGCATGGAGGCCAGAGAGAATGCGGCGGCTACACTGTTCAGTCTTTCAGTGATTGATGAAAACAAAGTGACTATCGGTGCCTTGGGAGCAATTCCGCCGCTCGTTGTATTACTTAATGAAGGTACACAAAGAGGCAAGAAAGATGCTGCTACTGCACTCTTTAACCTCTGTATATACCAAGGAAACAAAGGGAAAGCCATACGTGCAGGAGTGATTCCCACGTTGACTAGACTCTTGACAGAGCCCGGAAGCGGAATGGTCGATGAGGCACTCGCGATTTTGGCGATTCTCTCTAGCCACCCCGAAGGGAAAGCAATCATAGGATCCTCTGATGCAGTCCCAAGTCTGGTTGAGTTTATCAGAACTGGCTCGCCTAGAAACAGAGAAAACGCAGCTGCGGTTCTAGTCCACCTCTGTTCTGGAGACCCACAACATCTTGTCGAAGCGCAGAAACTCGGCCTTATGGGTCCATTGATAGATTTAGCTGGAAATGGGACGGATAGAGGGAAACGAAAAGCAGCTCAGTTGCTTGAACGCATTAGCCGTCTCGCTGAACAGCAGAAGGAAACGGCTCAGTCACAACCCGAAGAAGAAGCTGAACCAACACATTCAGTATCCACCACAGAAGCTGCAGATACTTAAAGATTGTCTTTGTTTTGGGTCCTCTGGTCATCTCTTTCACGTACGTCTGTGTATTATTCTCACTTTTTTTTTTCCGCTACTCGGTCCTCCCTCGAGGTAGGCTTCACGGTAGAGGGGGAAGAGGAAAATGGCCTCCTTCTCCGATCTACTTTTAACTTTATGGTGATATCTTTGTGTGGACGGAGCAATCTGGTCCACAGGAGAGAAAAGCAAATATGCATACATACACGTCAACTTGTATCATTGTAACACTATGTTTGTAATCATTTCCACGAGCTTTTTTGTTTTCAATACAAGATCTCTCTGTTTGCTTTCTTAATAACACTAGCATTAAGGAGATATTGCTTGAATATAATGCAGATTCCGATTTTTCAAGAACAGATGCGTTAACATTATACATTTCCAGTGTTAGATTATATATGTCGAACTCCTTTACTAGCTGTATTATGCAAAATAGATTCAAAAGGGGTTGTTTAGTTAGGGTTTAAGATTTTAGCAAAGTGGCGGATAAGTTTGCTTATAAGCTTACAATGGAAACAATAGTTTCTGAAATCAGCATACATATGCCTCCTCTTCAGAAGAAGACTTACCGTATCTGTTTCGACGAAGCTGAGCATATGTTTACAATTGCTTTATGCGGTCATGAATTCTGTACGGAGTGCGTGAAACGACATATAGAAGTGAGGCTACTCGAGGGAAGTGTACCAAGATGTCCACATTATCATTGCGGGTCTAAGCTAAGTTTTACAAGCTGTGCCAATCTTTTGATGCCTAAACTAAGAGAGATGTGGGAAAGAAGGATCAAAGAGGAATCGGTTCCTATGGCGGACAGAGTTTATTGCCCAAATCCAAGGTGCTCGGCTTTAATGTCGAAAACCGGAGATGGAACTATGAGATGCTGTTTTGAATGCGGTGAGCCTGCAAAGTTGCGTGGCATAGTAACTTGTCGTGCGACGATTACAAGAGATTGGGTCCAAATCCTACAGAAGATGATATAAAGCTCAAAGCTTTAGCAAATCAAAATATGTGGCGTCAATGTGGAAATTGCAACAAAATGATGAATTTTCTCAAAATGCGGGTTGATTTGGTTGACATCGATATGTGACTAAAAAATGCGGATTGATTTAATAGATGCTTTTAGTTAATCCAATAGGTTCCCATTAAAAAGGTATAGAGAGCTTGGTGAGCAACCTCATAACAAGACTTTTAACAACGAGCCCAACTAGAATACCAAAGCATTTATAGTGGGAAGGGATTGGAACTTTCTAAGAAATTCCAAAAAGACTTTCACTTAGGTCTGTTTTTTGTAGATGCTCAAATCCACTTGTGAATCCTGGTAACGTTGGGTGAGGTACGTTGAACATTTGATAGCTGGATATCTACACACACGATCATTAATTAACGTCGTTAAGACATTGTTACATGTCATATCTCAATGTAACTTGGTAAAGAAGTTAAGGCCTTACTTGGGAGGGTTGTTTTCAGACTGGCAGGTAGGAAGACATTCTACTATACAGTCGTGACTCGGTTGCAGAAAGAATGCAATCTGCGGTGAGAACACATCAAATACATTTCCAATGTTAGATTATATATGTCGAACTCATGTGTAAATTAAACATGTTTCACAAAACTGTAGATTGTTGTTGATAAATTATAATGACGACATTGAACATATGGTTAAAAGCTTTTCCACAATAACCGCACCGAAAAGTGGTCATGTCGAAAATTTTGTAAAGATAGACGCGGATGGGTTTTGCCAAGGGACTTACGGAATATCGGTCTTGACCATTCCCAAGTACCCGATGCAATGTGGATCTATGTATAAAAAAAAAGCATGTGAGATAAATGTTAGCAAGAAAACTTTACTTGCAAAAATCATTCATAATGCAGAGGACTAAATGAGACATTAGAGAGAGTTAGCTCAAACAACAAGTATTTACTTAAAAATGCCGTTGCTCCAACGCTCCAGCAAGTCACCGATATTCACAATATACGCGCTGTAGAGGAAAACAAATCATATAAACAAAAAAAAATTGTGATGGGAGTCAGTGAAGTGTTTAAAATGGAGCAACCCAAGAATCAAAAAAATCTCATTATACCCTTTAATCGACGGTATATATTCCCACTTCCTAGGCTTCACATATCTATCCTTGCATATCTGCCATCAGACAATTTCTATAACCAAACCTGGTCACATCAAAAGTTATATGACTGTAGTGAAAATCGTGTTATACCTGGAGCCCCATTACACTATCGGTTGCTAAGAGAGTCATCATTCCGAAATCAGAATGTGGCCCGCATCCATATATTCCTTTCGAGGGATCAGACATCCCTAAGAGGTAACATAAGAAAGAAGAAAATTAATTGGGATGAGTATAGCATTGACATTAAGATTAATGTGATAAAGAAAATACATCACCTTCATAGTGAAGCAAGCGCATAAATGCGAGGGGATTTCCCAGCATTTCTGGTTTATCAAAGTAATCTCCATCCACGTTGAGCGCCAATGCGAGTACTCTAGCAATAGCCTTACAAACCCTCCTGCCAATGCAGAAAGGCTCATCATCATAACTCATAAGTATACGGTTTAGTACCCATATATATATACAAATCATAATGTATGAAACCGCTACTTTAGAAGACGAAAAAAGACTTACAATGCTTCTTGATGATATTTCTCCATGGTCGCCTGCCATCCCGGCAAAACATCTGCTAGAAACATCAAATTTTATTCAAAGAAAAATCATTAAATTTACAAAAAGTGTTTACTAACCAGGGTTAGGCCAAATGTTAGCGCGACAGAATGGTGTATCGTTGGACCCTTCGATTCCAATGAAAAAACTTTCTTTGTAATCCCCTAAAAATCATGATAGGTTACAACAAGATTGGGAACAATTAACAACAAATTTTTGGTCAAGCAAGTGAAAGCTGGTCACAAGAACCATGGATTTGGTTATCAGAGATTTGACTAAGGACTGGTGAATAGCCTTGATGCTTTTCGTTTTTCAAGACTTTCATTTTCTCTTCCAAAGGAAGAGCAAAGAACTTCTTGCTTTGCTCGAAAGCCTCGTCCTTTAACTCTTCACTAATACCATGATTTGTGACATAGAAAAATCCACAATCTAGACATGCCTAGAACAAGAATAACCAACAACGAGTCACATAAGTAATAAAAGCCACGCCATAATCATTGATGTTGATAAAAAGAAAGAAGAAGAGACAAGCCTCCTTAAGCGAGTCAGCTGATTGATGAAGATTGGTGTTGGCGAGATCTATGCAAGTAAGAGATGAAACATTGATGGTCAAAGCTTCCTCTTGAGTTTTGTTTTCCATCTCTCTAATTTTCTATGTTGACTCTTTCAAGATAAGAAGGAGAATGGCCTTTTCCAAGATTCCATTGCCATAAATTCATATTATATACGCTCCACATTTTAAAATTTCAGTCGGAAAATTATTTAAGTCGAGAATCGACAAAATAACCACATCTTTCGAAAAAAATATCAAATTATTAGTTTGTTCTTTTTATTACATTTAATTTTGTTTTATTCAAGAACTAGAGGACACCTATTGAATGATCATCAATATTATAATATGCTGTGATTCTATATCTTGAATGGGGTTTTAATTGCTTTATGTGTGAACAAGTTTTGAGTCTTTTTCTATTAGCCCCTTGAGTCGATCAAGTCTTTTTCTAATACACTCTTCTTTGTAATCACTTAAATTGTGATCTTTATTAGTTGAATAGGTCTCCATCAAATAGATATAAATCATGGTGAGAAATACAAATACAATAGAAATTTTAACAACAAACCAATTGGAAAACGAAAGCATTCATATCGTGGGACTTTAGGGCGTGGTACGCATGGACCATACTTCACCTAGGTCTGTTTTAGGTGTGCATGTGCTGCTTTGTAACGTTGGGAGATGTACGTTGAACATTTGATCGCTGGATATCTACTCATTAAACAAGACCATAAACATCTTTGAGACATGGTCGAAAGTCTTAATGTAAAAAGGTGAAGATGTTAAAGACTTACTTGGGAAGGTTGTTTTCGGACTGGCAGGTAGGAAGACATTCTATTATACAGTCATGACTTGGTTTTAGGAAGAATGGAATCTGTGAGAAGAAAACTTTTAATTAAATAGAAGTGTTACGTAATTTTTCGAATTCACTTAGATTTTTGAGAAAGGATATCAATGAGATTTGGCTTGTGGCTGAAGATTCTTCCATGCACTATATAGTAAGAAACTTACAGAATATCGGTCTTGCCCATTCCCAAGTACCCGATGTAATGTAGACCTGTAAGGTATAAAAACATGTCATTACAAAAAAAACTGTACTTGAAAATCATGCTACATGTTGTATTGAGCGACATGTGTCACAATTGCCTTAGGAAAATTAAGCTCAAACAAACAAAAACTTTACTTGAAATAGCCATTACTCCAACGCTCCAGCAGATCACCAAGATTCACAATATAGGCTCTATAGATGGAAACAAACAATATAAATATACCAAAACAGAACATTTTAAATATAACGTAATAAACAAAAATATGTTTTGTGCCAAAAACCTCTCATTGTTATACCCTTTAATTGATGGAATATATTCCCACTTTTGAGGCTTCACGTCTTTATCCTTGCATATCTGCAATTAGATATATATATTAAGAAGTTTATAAGTAACTTGATCACATATGAAGTTATATGAGAGTAGTAAAAGTTGTGCAATACCTGAAGTCCCATTACACCATCAGTTGCTAAGAGAGACATCATTCCGAAATCAGAATGTGCTCCACATGCATATATTCCTTTCGAGGGATCAGACTTCCCTAAAATATAACAAAAAGGAAGAAAAATGAGGATAAGTATGACATTGACATACAAAGCTAATGCAATTAAGAATATACCTTCATAGTGAAACAAGACCATATCTGCAATTGGATTTCCCAGCATCTCTGGTGTATCAAAGTAATCCACATCCAAGTCGAGCGCCAAAGCCATTATTCTCGCAATAGACTTACAAACCCTCCTGATCATGTAGAAGGGCTCATCATAAGTATACAGTTTGAAAAACCTTCTTCCTTAAGAGTTCCACAGAAAATATATGTATGGCACCTAGTATAGTATAAGAAACAAAGAATTACATACTTATTTAATATTTTATTGTCAATTAATCTTAAGATGTATATCTATAAATTTTGACATGAGGCTAGAGTTCAGAATTCTAAATATTTGCCTAAGTTTTTTTTTTTTTTTTTGATTTTTATCATCTTTAAGTTTTAACTATAAATACGAGGACGAATCAAACTTTAATTTCCACCTAATTTCCAACTAAATTTTTATCCATCAATCATTTGGGCATTAGCAAATTTTCCCACTTGATTTCCCTATTTAAACATTTTCTAAAAAAAACATGACACTTACAATGCTTCTTGATAATATTTCTCCATGGTCTCCCGCCATCCGGGCAAAACGTCTACCAAGAACATTAGAGTTTATTTAAAGAATAAAGCATAAATTAAAAACAGTGACACGGGAAAATCTAACCAGAGTTAGGCCAAATGTTGGGGCTATGGAATGGTTTATCCCCATGGGGACCATCTTTGCCACCTTCGAACCCAATGGTAAAACCCTCTTTGTAGTCCCCTAAAACCCATGAAGTTACAACAATAGTGAGATACATCAACAACAATGTTAGCCTAAGAAAGCGAAAGCTGATCAGACGAACCTCGGACTTGGTTTTTAGGGTCTAAGAGAGAATCGTGGAATGGTGCATAGCCTCGATACTTTTCATTTCTCAAGACTTTCATTTTCTCCTCCAAAGGAAGAGCAAAAAACTTCTTGCTGTGTTCAAAAGCCTCGTCCTTCAGTTCCTCACTTATACCATGATTTATGACATAGAAAAATCCACTATCGAGACATGCCTGGAACAAGAATATATAACACATAATGACCTAACAAATAATGTTCTTCGCGGAAGTTATAATGTTCATACCATAATCAATTTTAAGAAAAATAAATGGAAATAGACCTGCTTGAGTAAAACAGCTGATTGATGAAGATCGGAGTTGTCGAGATCTATGCAAGTAAGGGAAGAAACTTTGATGATTGATACATCTTCCTCAGTTCTATTCTCCATTAATTTCTCTATCACTCTCTTGATGCGGACATCCAAATCAAACCAAACCGGGAGTATACCAAACCAACCGGTACATGTATCAAACCGGTTGATATGGAGCATTTTGGAGGATTCTTGCCCAAATGGAGTCATAATCAAGCACAAGGCCTAGGGTTAATTATTCACCAGCAAATTAATCCTAAGAAGACAAACGATAGTTCAGGAGGAATCAAAGACCAGCGAGCCGAATCACCATGTTGGGGAAATTTGACCGTTGCACTCTTTTTCCCTTATCTAGGGTTTGTCCCAATGGGTTTACCTAGAAAGGTTTTTAACGAGGCAACATCAAGTCATCAAGGAATCATTTACCAAGAAATTGATTCGAAGATGTTACAAGTACATATAGCTGATGTACTTGCTGACAGACCGGCTGCACTACTTGCTGAACTACTCGCTGAACTACTTTCTGAAGTACCGCACCAAATGAAGCCAAATAAGGAAATCTTCCTTATTCTATACTTGGACGTGCCTCAAAGCTTTATTTGGCGACCTGGAGAGTATCTAGATCACTTAGAGGCTTCACTACACGCTCTAAGATACACCACACCACATTTGATCAAGCGGATCAATTCTGAGCTCTACTTACCATATTTGGACCCGATTGTCATCAATGTCCCATGGATCTTTCCCCTTTTGTTTGAGCGTCCACTTAAGATATTCCAGAGCATCAAGAAGCTTCCAAGACGTCACAACTTCCTCCCCAAGTTGACAAGATATAAGGCACACCTCACTTGCCTTATTTGGACCAACGACCATATTTTCTTTTAATGTTGCGATTTGTTTCCTTGTTTAGCTTTTAGAACGTTTGTACTCAGCCTATATAAGCTGATCATTAGTCTCATTGTAAAGCACCCTTGATCATATTAAAGTAATAGAAACGTTTTCTTCTTGTCAAAGTTTGAGTCTTTGCCATTGTTCTGTAGTTCTTTGTGAGTGAGTCACTAAGTACTTCAGGATTCTGCGGATTAAGTTTGTTGAGTGATTCAACATCCTTCATTCGTTCATTGATCGAGTGAGTCGATTACCCCACTGATTGAGCGAGTCAATCACCCTTCTATCCATCAATTCCCCTTGAATCGATCCCACACGAGAGAAGCGACCGCCATCGTGTCAGATCACCACCTTCATCATCCCACCTTCCGCGTGAAAAACTTGGAATCTCTTGATCATCAAGTGATCTAAAGTTGGAGTGATTCCAATCTTGTATCATCTGGTATCAGAGCTTCAAAAGCTCCTATCCCCAAGGTTGTATCTTTTCAACCTATATCTTTTTGATTTTTCAATTTTGTTATTTAATTTTTATAAATTTGAAAACCAAAAAAAAAAAAAAAAAAATTTTGTTTCTTGCTTTGTTATTGTTTATTTGCTTCAGTACTTTCATTAAAAAAAAAAAATTATTTGCTTCAGTTTATTATTTATTTTATAATTATTATAAGAAAAATCCATAAAAAATCATATTTTTTATTAGTTTTCGGAATTTTATTTTTATAAAATCAGAAAAGAGAAATAAAAATTGTTTTTCCTTTATATTTTCGATTTTGATTCAAAAAAAGAAAAGAAAAGCAAAATAAAATATTTATTTCCTTATTTTTGTTTATAATTATTGTTCTTGTCATATTTGTAGAACTACTCTTTGACACACTTTTCCTTCTTTGTGTTTGTGAGGTACGCCCCCTAAAATTCAGAGGTGATAATGGAGTCTATTGAGTTCTATTCGGATGAAGAAATCTAAGGAGAAGAGCCTTACCAAGTCATGTCGGATGTGGAAGACAACTATGGAAGCATCTCTTGGCATCACAACTATCATTCAGATTCTGAATCAAGAGATGAACCAGGCCGTGAAGCACCAGAACCAGAACCGCCTGACTCATACAACACCAATACAGGCTATTCTAAACCATGGATTAAATTTAATAATGATTTTTGCAGCCATGGTTCAAAATCTCCATTGACTCGAGCTATGTCTTTTTCAGGAAAAGAGAATTATCTTAAGTGGGAAGATAACATGGAGTATAAAGGGGCAACAGCGAAGGAATACAATTGCCAACGTCTTCCAAGGCATGAAGAGATGCTCGACCATCACACCTTGTTATACAGAGGGCCTACAGCCTCACGTCAAGCAAAACCGAGACACAAGTTCTTTCACACCAATACACGAGTAGTACAGGAAGTGACTCAAGAAATGACTCAGAGATCATCAATGTGGCGTAAACCATATCCCCGTGGTAGACGTGACTACCTAGCTGAGAGAGACTCAGGGATCACTAATCTAAGAGGAGGCGAGCTGAAACGTGGCACTCGTCGAGACCCACTACTATCCAATCCCACCCGAACCTACCAAACAAAACTCAGGTTATCTCTAGACAATGGTTATGAGTATTTTGGACCTGAACCTTTTGAGTTTGCAGGACATGAGAGAGATTATCTACAATGGGAACTCAACATGGATAAGTACTTTAGATACTATTCTATTCCCAAAGAAGAGAGGCTCAACTATTGTCTTGAACAACTCATGGGAAGCGCAAAACGTTGGTGGGACCGAGAAGAAAAAGATAGACGGTGGTACAAGGAGCCATCACTCAAAACGTGGGGACAACTAAAGTTGCTTATGAGGGAGAGATATGCACCTCACATGCTTTCCCAGCCTGTTCAAAACAGTTACCTTCCAAAGGAACCAAGCCGAGAGAATACTACACATCAACATGTTAGTTCTAATCATAACGCGGATCAAGATTCCGCCAAGAATGAGAAAGGTACAGGCGCAAAAGGAGAACCGAGCCCCATACCGGTACTTGAACCACATGCTGAACCATATGTTGAGCCACACGCTGAGCTAAAGCAAGGTAAGTCCTCTAATTCTTTAAAATCAAATGAACCGACATGTTATAGATGTCATAAGAGGGGGCATTTTGCTGCAACTTGCACTAAAAGACAAGTAGAAGATGTCACATCACTAGAGCTGAAATTGAATGCATCTAACTCCAATGATTGTCTAGTGAATTCAAGTTTAGAAATTCCCAATTCTAGATTAATGCACTTGTCTTTGCCAAAGGTTATTGATGCAGGTCTGTGTCCTAGCATGGATGAAACATCTAAAGAAGTAGACCACAAGGAAGCAACTCTAAAGGAAGTTGAGAATGACATAAGTTTTGAGGAACAACTTTCGGAAACAACAACATTATCACAAGTTTGCCGAAATAAGACTTATGATCAAGCAGCCCTCAAAGGACGTGTGATGATACATCCCTGCTCAACACCAGCTGATCTTGCTTCTAAGATCATCCACATCAAGGCTGAATTGATACCGAACACCTTACATGGTACACAAGTAAGCGAAACTTACTATCTTGTTCGATATTGGCATTATCTTATATTCGAAAAGAGTTTCAAGAACCCTATCCATATCATTTCAATTTCCAGTATAATGCACTTGATCTTGTCTTTGAGTGCCAGTGAAAGTACAGGTACCATGAAGATTTGCGAAGATCAAAGAGAAGCCACAACAATGTTACGGTTACTCTCGGATCAAAGCAAACAAGAAGTTGATTCTGGTCTAACACATGAAAAGGTTCAAAGTAACTTATTTCATTATGTTCATGAACGTCCCTTGACTGCCTTAATACACTTGTCTTGTGCCAAAAGTGTTGAGACACATGTAGGTAATAAGGAGACACATGTGGATCCAAAAGAGGGATCAACAACGAATGATGTTGTGCAGCAATATCAAGAGCTTTTGATATGCGAATCTGTCACTAAAGAGAATGAAATTGTTACCAACAACATCCTGCTGCAAGAAGAACCACCGGACCAGCCATCAAATCAACAAACCAAGTTGATTTCGAAAGATACACTCACCGAGGATCTAAGTCAGGTAAGTAAACTATTACTTCTAATTGATTCTAGCGATTCGAATGATGTGATAATAAACTTGTTAATCCTTAAAGAGTGTGAGAAAATAGTAGATCTTTTAAATAAATCTATGGAACTAATTTCTTGTCTTAGGACATATCAAGTAGCTGATCTACTTTGTGACATACTTTCTGAATCACTTTGTGGAAAAGAAATGGTTCAATCCAAAATTGGTTTACTTGTTTATATTGATCCCATGACTGTTTTAATGCACTTGTTTCTTGCCCAAAGTGTTGATGAACTTGCAGGTACCAACAAAGAACACATGGAACATAAAGGTGATTCACCGGAAGTGAGGAAAGTCAACGACCAAATTCAAAACCAAAGTGAACCAGCACCATTGATGCTAACACCCTCTATCATGGAGACTAGAAGAGTTTCAAACTCTTGCTTAATCAAAGAGGAACCGCCGGATTTTAAAGCTCAAGCCCAAACCCGAGAAGGATTTAAGCAAGCAACACGACAACTCAAAGCACCGGATCAAAACAAAGGAGTGATCCTATCCTTCTTGCTCAAAGGAGAGCCACCTGATGCACCATGCACCATCAAACCGCCACCCTACCAAGGTAAGACCCTAGCCTCCCAAAATCGAATGAAAGCTAACTTGCTTTCTCTTGGTGCAGATTGTATAGTTTCGAGGTCGAAACTTTTTCAAGGGAGAGGGTATGATGCGGACATCCAAATCAAACCAAACCGGGAGTATACCAAACCAACCGGTACATGTATCAAACCGGTTGATATGGAGCATTTTGGAGGATTCTTGCCCAAATGGAGTCATAATCAAGCACAAGGCCTAGGGTTAATTATTCACCAGCAAATTAATCCTAAGAAGACAAACGATAGTTCAGGAGGAATCAAAGACCAGCGAGCCGAATCACCATGTTGGGGAAATTTGACCGTTGCACTCTTTTTCCCTTATCTAGGGTTTGTCCCAATGGGTTTACCTAGAAAGGTTTTTAACGAGGCAACATCAAGTCATCAAGGAATCATTTACCAAGAAATTGATTCGAAGATGTTACAAGTACATATAGCTGATGTACTTGCTGACAGACCGGCTGCACTACTTGCTGAACTACTCGCTGAACTACTTTCTGAAGTACCGCACCAAATGAAGCCAAATAAGGAAATCTTCCTTATTCTATACTTGGACGTGCCTCAAAGCTTTATTTGGCGACCTGGAGAGTATCTAGATCACTTAGAGGCTTCACTACACGCTCTAAGATACACCACACCACATTTGATCAAGCGGATCAATTCTGAGCTCTACTTACCATATTTGGACCCGATTGTCATCAATGTCCCATGGATCTTTCCCCTTTTGTTTGAGCGTCCACTTAAGATATTCCAGAGCATCAAGAAGCTTCCAAGACGTCACAACTTCCTCCCCAAGTTGACAAGATATAAGGCACACCTCACTTGCCTTATTTGGACCAACGACCATATTTTCTTTTAATGTTGCGATTTGTTTCCTTGTTTAGCTTTTAGAACGTTTGTACTCAGCCTATATAAGCTGATCATTAGTCTCATTGTAAAGCACCCTTGATCATATTAAAGTAATAGAAACGTTTTCTTCTTGTCAAAGTTTGAGTCTTTGCCATTGTTCTGTAGTTCTTTGTGAGTGAGTCACTAAGTACTTCAGGATTCTGCGGATTAAGTTTGTTGAGTGATTCAACATCCTTCATTCGTTTATTGATCGAGTGAGTCGATTACCCCACTGATTGAGCGAGTCAATCACCCTTCTATCCATCAATTCCCCTTGAATCGATCCCACACGAGAGAAGCGACCGCCATCGTGTCAGATCACCACCTTCATCATCCCACCTTCCGCGTGAAAAGCTTGGAATCTCTTGATCATCAAGTGATCTAAAGTTGGAGTGATTCCAATCTTGTATCATCTCTAGTCTTTCTTTGGATAGGATATATACATTTTTGTTCTTTGGTTAGCTTATCTTATAGCCAGCGATGCCACTGCCGTATATGTATTAACCACAGCCGCTTGGCTCCACGTTTTAAATGTTCAATATCAAATCAATAGAGTTTTTTTTTTTTTTTGAATACTAGAGATAAAGAACCAATAATGTAAATACACTATTTCCAAAAACAGGTCATGTTGTCAGGTCCGTTGGCCATCATTATATTACGATCACATATACAACTGACCGAATCCTATCTTCGAAATCTCATTTTTTGATAGATATAATTTGTCAAAATATTGCATTTAATCAGTTTTCATATCTTACTGACAACTTCAAAGATAGCGAAAATGCTAAAGAGTTAAGTAAGTAGTATAAGTAGCTCAAATATAGTTTAAACACATAAAAACCCAAAAAATAATTCTTATAAACTAAAAGTAACCCGCATTTACCGTGACTGCTTATCCAATCTAATCTATTACATATATGAAAGTAGAATGTCGTTCAATATTATGATATAAAGTTTGCCATGAGAATAAGTTGCAAGAAGTAAAGAATTTATCTATATAGCCCACACGGCAATGTCTAGTGGTAAGGGAGAATTAGGGAAAGTTTGGAAGGAGCTAACCTAAGTTCGATCCACCCTAGAAACAAAAATCATATTTGTGTGGGAAGTCTGGGATTGGGCTTTGCCCCAAACAATTCACATGGTATCCGGGATTAGGCTAACTGGATATCTCCGAGCATTAGTCGAAAAGCACAAACTCGGGGTTAGGCAGTGTGGTAGTCCAACACCTAGGTGTTGGTGACGAGTCCACATGATAGCACTTCGGTGCGTTCTCCCCGAGGCTGATCCTTCCCTCGAAGCTGACCGGATCAGTCGATCGGGTATATATAAAAAAAAGAATTTATCTATATAGAGTTAATAGTTCAAAAAAAAAAATGGGGGAAGGTTTCAATTGATACACTCTGTCCTTTCCAGCATCAGTAACTTCTGCACAGCAACTCTTCCTCTCCCAAAGGGGTGTTTGGAAGCACTTGAAAGGTTGTGCAACTGACTTCCTGTAGGGTAGGGCACAAAATTCAGCTCGTGAAGTTTCCTGGCATTTTGTTTGTTCAACAAAAATCAGCAGGCGGTTTGGGGCTGATACTAATTTTGGCTCTTGTTTGCGGCGAACGAGTCATTTGTGCATTGCTTGGCTAGAAAACATGGTTATTAAAAGGAAACCGTTTTGGACCTCTGATTTTCAAAGAACTGGAAGCTAGATTTGGTGATGTTTTGATGAAACTTCGGCCGATCAGAATGTTTAGCTTCTTTTTGGAATGATGATTAGAAAAAACTTGGGACCTTTCATTGATATAACAGGGCCAAACGGGATAATTTTAGAGAATAAATTTTTGTAAGACTTCTCAAAACCTAAAATTTTTAACCGATATTTTAAATTTTAAAAACTGATATTCTCTTTTATTAATCCAATAGGTCGCCATGTACAGTATTTATAAACCTTGGTGAACAAGCCTTTAAGACAAAAACTTCTACAACGAACCCAACTAAAAAACCAAAGCATATATAGTGGGAAGGGCGTTAACCAAAATAGAAAACCAAAGACTTTCACTTAGGTCTGTTTGTAGATGCTCAAATCCACATGTGATTGCTCGTAACGTTGGGTGAGGTATGTTGAACATTTGATAGCTGGATATCTATTCATCAAATGCAATCGTTAATGTCTTTTGGAGACATTGTTACATGTCCAAGCTCTCAATGTAACAAGGTAGAGAAATAAAGCCTTACTTGGGAAGGTTGTTTTCGGACTGGCAGGTAGGAAGACATTCTACTAGACAGTCGTGACTCGGTTGTATGAAGAATGCAATCTATGACAAGAACAAATTAAAAACATTTTGAGTGTTATATAGTTTTCTAAACTCATTTGTGAACATGTTCAACAATACGCTAGATTGTTGAGAAATTATAACAACTACATTGAGCATATCATCTTGTAAAAAATTGCAAGGATAGACGCGGATGTGTATTATTAAGAGACTTACGGAATATCGGTCCTGACCATTCCCAAGTACTCGATGCAATGTGGATCTGTATGTATGTGAGAAAGAAAAATGTCAGCTAGAAAACTTTACTTGGGAAAATGACAATGTAGTGGGTGAAAAGAGACATTAGGGAGAGTAAGCTTAAACAAATCAAAATTACTTAAAAATGCCGTTGCTCCAACGCTCCAGCAAGTCACCAAGATTCACGATATATGCTCTTAGAGGAAAAATATGAAAACAATTTGTTTATTATGTGAGTTAGAGTAGTGTTTAAAATAAATCATGGATCCTAAAACCTTAAAACTCTCATTATACCCTTTAATAGATGGTACATATTCCCATTTCCTAGGCTTCACGTCCTTATCCTTGCATATCTGCCATCATACATCAGCAATATAATAATATCTCATAACAAAACCCGGTCACATCTAAAGTTATATGACTAGCGAAAATGTGTAATACCTGGAGCCCCATTACACTATCGGTTGCTAAGAGAGTCATCATTCCGAAATCAGAATGTGCCCCGCATCCAAATATTCCTTTCGAGGGATCAGACATCCCTAAAAGGTAACAGAATGAAGGAAGACAATTACTTGGGATAAGTCTAGTATTGACATACAAAGCTTAAGAAAATACATCACCTTCATAATGAACCAAGCGCATAACTGCGATAGGATTTCCCAGCATTTCTGGTTTATCAAAGTAATCTCCATCCAAGTCGAGCGCCAATGCCAATAATCTAGCAATAGCCTTACAAACCCTCCTGACCAAGTGAAAGGCTCATCATTATACCATTTAAAAATTTAATCTTCCCTCAAAGTCTGAAGAAATGAAACAGCTACTTAAGAAGACGGAAACGAACATTAGACTTACAATGCTTCTTGATAGTATTTCTCCATGGTCACCCGCCACCCCGGCAAAACATCTACCAGAAACATCAAAGTTTATATAAAGAAAAAAAAAACATTTGAGAAAAAAAAAAGGTCCATCAGGTTAGTTAACAAATAAAAGAGCTAACAAGGATATATGGAGGAAAACAACTAACCATGGTCAGGCCATAGGTTGGGGCTATAGAATGGCGTATCCCCATGCGGATCATCTTTAACACTTTCAATTCCAATGAAAAAACTTTCTTTGTAATCACCTGAAATCGATGAGGACACGACAAGATTGAGATCATCAACAACAAATTCTTAATCAAGCAAGCGAAAAGATGGTCACACAAACCGTCGACTTGATTCTCAGGATCTAAGATTTGATCAAGGACGGGTGAATAGCCTCGATGCTTTTCGTTTCTCAATACTTTCATCTTCTCCTCCAAAGGAAGATCAAAGAACTTCTTGCTCTGCTCGAAAGCCTTGTCCTTCAACTCCTCGCTTATACCATGATTTGTGACATAGAAGAATCCACAATCTTGACATGCCTGGAACAAGAATAACTCACACACAACGAGTCAATATTTTTGACATACTTTGTTATAATGGAGAAAAAGTATATAAAGAAAAATAAATTCAGACCTGTTTAAGCGAATCAGCTGATTGATGAAGATTGGTGTTGGCGAGGTCTATGCAAGTAAGGGATGAAACTTTGATGGTCCAAGCTTCCTGCTGAGTTTTGTTCTCCATATCTTCTAGTTCTGTGTGTTAGTTCTTGGAGGATAAGAAAGGAGAATGCCTTTTTCGAATTCTTCGAATTCTGTTTGTTAATTCTTGGAAGATAAGAAAGCCGTAATAACCACATCTTTTGGAAAAATATATCAAATCAATAGTTGAGGATTTTTTTGGCATTTTTCACTTTATTTTCTTATGTTGAATTATTATTATTCAAGAACTATAGAGAAATGCATGATTATTGTAATACATTATTGTTTAAAACAGTTCTTTTTATTTTTCTTTCTGACACCACGTCCATTTAATAAATATGCTGCGATTCTAAATCTTGAGTGTTTTTATTGCTTTAGGCGTGAACAAGTCTTGAGTCTTTTTCTATTAGATCTTTGAGTCGTTCAGTCTCTTTTTTTTCTAATACTGTGATTAATTTAGTTGACTTTGATTCCATTATCTTTGTTTCTTTTAATCGACCACTATTATTGTATCGCAACTCTCGTTTATTGTAAATCACTCATTACAGTTACATTGATTATAGTATATGCAGCATATTTCACTAAACGATTCAACGCTTCATTATGTCATCTCCATTCTATTAATTTTCAAAGTGTATAGATAAATCAAAAGGGAAAAATGTCAATAAAACATTGAAGTTTTAAAAAGTATTAAAAAATCTCAACTTTACTTTCGATGAAATATATAAGCAATGTTGACTTCCCATTTTAATCATCAAGTTTTATTGATTTTATCAAATTATATCCGCCTATAAGTGGTTTGACAGAAAGGATTAACAGTTCCGTCAGACCACTTAAAGGTAAGACTAATTTGTCCCAAACAACAGTCCATTGATATCTCCGGTTAATGAAGATGTTGAAATTTGAAAGTTGAAAACAAAATGTGTGATGTGGACCATTAATCAGAGATGCTTCCATTGATAGTTAAGACCGAATCATGCAAATATTTCGATATTATCTAAGGGACCCTTCAGCCTAACTTTGTTGGATTAGGATTGTTCTAAGCAGTTGCATTTGGCTCTAGAATTCAAATAATAGTTGATGATTCTTAGATTTGAATCATAGAAGTTTACTTCGACAGAACTACAGAAGGTTAGAGAGGAAAATTACAGGAAATTACCGGATATATAAACAATCAGTGGAACAAGTAGATCCATTCTATTGTCTTATGCATTTTGTGTTTTTTGTTTTTTTTTTGGGTCTGGGCTTACAGTGGACCGGTCCTAACTTATTAACCCCACATTAAATTTTTAGGTAAGTATCCTTTGGCGAGAAGGTCTTCAACTTGCTTACGCAGCTCATCATGTTCTTTTGGGTTCATCCGTTCATGCGATAATGTGGTTGATTAGGGAGGTAGGAATTGAAGTAGATGAGAAACTAGCCCTATATGGACTTTGCCACTAGAATATAAAATTTTATCTCGTATTTTTTTTCTTTTATTTTGCATTTGCTGAGTAGAAACCAAAACTAAACCAAAAAAATTTCATCATAGTTAGAGTCTACTTTTGGATTTTCGTTGTATGACAATTTGATTGGTCTTAGTGGTTTAACTTTGTTTTTTTACCACCACTCCCCAAAACCGTGGAACATCAAAGTTTATAAAAAAAAAAAAAATACATTAAGTTGACAAATAAAAGAGCTAACCAGGATATATGGAAACAAATATTGGATCAAGCAAGTGAAACCTGGTCACAAAAACAGTCAACAATTGATTCTCAGGATCTAAGATTTGATCAAGGGGTGAATAGCCTTGATGCTTTTCATTTCTCAAGACTTTCATCTTCTCCTCCAAAGGAACAGTCTCGTGGTTCAATTCCTCACTTATACCATATGATTTGTGACATAGAAAAATCCACAATCAAGACATACCTTGAACAAATACCCCACAACGAGTCAATGTTTTTGACATAAATATCAAAAAAGAAAATGTTTTTGACATCCTCTAAATATTAAAAGAGAGTTTTTTGTACTGACGTGGCAAGCCCATATATTTATTTTAATTCTACTATTCCATTTGGCAAACTTTTTTTTTTTTTATATACTCATCCTTCTTTAACTACTAACCAAACATACCTAAATTTGTTCTAATATATCTAAAGTTACCAAATTTAGATTTTTTAAAATTCTCAATTATTACCATATTTACTAATTCGAAATTCTTATATATATCTTATGTAATGGAAATTGTTAATAAGGTAATAAAATGGATATAATTTATTATAAAATAACAAGGGTTCATTAACAAAACGGCGAACGCAAACCAGATGCATAAATAAATGTTTTTAGAGCAGAGGAGTAAAAATAGGATATACGTGAGGATGCCCCAGCGTCTATGTCGTCGTCTCCTCTCTGTTCCTTTTCCTTTAAGGTAGGTTACAAACCTTATTAGCTCTCTATGTCTTTGCATTGCTTATATTATTGTTGGATTTAATGCTTAACCATAATAGCAACAAGTCCCTTCTTCTGTTCTGTATCATCAACATAGTTAGTCTTTGTGCTGTGTCTGGATTGGTTTCTAGCCTTATTAACTGTGTGATGGAATAGCCTTTGCATTGATTATGATGGAATGATTTACCCTAATAGCAACTACTACAATTTAGCTGAAAGTCTATCTTATTTATTCGTCTTTGTATTAACATCATAGTTACTTTAACCGGGCCTTGTGGCCTAGTGGTAAAGGGGTCACAGCTGTGACTTCCGCCACCAGGGTTCGAGGCACGGCCACTGGCAGGTTTACATAGGGGAATTGCCAGCCTCGTGGGATTAGTCTTTGGGCCTAGGAAGCCTTTGGGAGACCCGCGGTTATTCAAAAAAAAAAAAAACATCATAGTTACTTTCTGTGCTCATGAACCGTTTGATGGATTTGTTATCGTCTCTAGGTCTCTTCTTTTCTCGTTTTTCCATGCCAAAGCCTGTCTTAATTAGACTTTCTTTATGTATAGATTCTTCACTGATATGCTCCTAAATATGACTTGCCCAATCTACTGCATATTCCTAATCTATTGTTATTTGCTTCTGAATAATATTTCAATGTTCTGTATGACTATTCAGTTTGAGAAGATTAGATACATTGTTGGATAAACTGGTTGATCAGATTTAAATAAGTTGTTTCAGTTTCAAAATATTCTTGTTGAGATAGTTTTGAGCTCGATATAATTCCTACTAAGCATTAGTAAAGCTACTTCGCATGAGCATGACAATTACCTTGAGCTTAAGTCAAAGAGTATTGCAAGCTTTGAACTTTTTGAATCGTTAGAATTTTCATGCTATATGTGTAGATATTGTGATTGTGTTTTCTGCCTTTTTTTTTAAGAATTGATAAAGAGTAGATGATTTTGTAAAATTTGATATCACCTCTCTTACGTTGTTAGACTTATGTTGTGTATCCAACTTGCAGCCGTACCTGAAGCAATTTTCTTCACTTCTCTCTTCTCCATGACTCCAAGAAATTAGAGGAAAGCTTCTGCTATGGAATCGGATAAGGGATCTGAGGTATTTTAATATACTCTACTAACCTTATGTTTAAACAGTTCTGTATTGCTTTCCTTTAAAACTCTTTTTTTTCCAATCAATGTAGAAATTGGAGCAAATGAAGAAAATTTTGAGCAGATTAAGGAAAAAATTAACGAGTTAAATGATATATTGTATTTTTATCGGTTTTGAGTCTTTGTTTTCTTTCCTAGATCATATATTTCATAGAGTCAAAGTGTGTTTTTTGAGTCTTTTAGTCCTTTATCGAGTCTCTACAGGTTTTAGGTTGCTTCGGAGAAAAGCGAGTTGTTTTCGAATATAAACACATTTAAAGATGCAGATTCGTTTGGAAGTGTCAGACGTTTGGCCTCAGATGGAAGATTTGACCTGATTCACTCCTGATCCGACCCGGCTCGTCTCCTATTGTTTTAAAATCTTAGGCTCGACTTTGGAGACAAGATCCTTCATATTTTTCAGTTCTAAACTTTGTTCTTTGGTTTGTAAGCAACTTTGGGCAAAGGAATCCATCCTCTTGACACTTGGAGAAGATTTCTAAACCCTTTCTTGTTATTTCTACAATTTTATCATGTTTTCTTCATCATGTGTGAGTAGTTCTCAATTGGGTTTTAGGGTTCTAAGTAGAAAGTCAACGGATTAGTGAATAGATTATCATAGGGAATTCTCTACCATTAGATTATTCGATTTACATGTTCTTAATGCTAGAATAGGATTGATCACCCTGTTGTAGATTCTAGGTTTTTCTATGCATCAAAAATGTTCGAAGAATGCATGAATGAATGTAAATTGAGCAATGTGTTTCTAACCAACGAAAGTTGACGTTAGAACGCATTGTGAACGAAATGAACCAACTCGTTAATGCGAATTTGATTAGGAAACTACAAATGAAAGTTTAGTAGTTGAGTAGTCGAATTTAGTGACAAATGGCTTGAAAGAGAGTTAGTCTAGAATTATGTTCATAGTTGATAATGGTTCTTCATTTATGAATCCCTTGTTTTGTTTATCCCGCTAGTCATTGTCTTTTGAAATACCCTAATGCCCAATGTCTTTAAATCTTGAAGTTTAATCATTTAATTTATTTGCATTTTTATTTTACAATTCTGAAAACCCAAACAATCAACCTTTCGCTTTAGCTAAGAACGAGTCTCGAAAATCTTTAGTGTACCATTGGTTCTCGTGGATCGACCCCGTATATATTACCTTGCGGTTAGATATATCGGGTAAGTACTCGAGCAATCATTAAACAAGGAGTTCCTAACTGTTGCAGACATAGACTTCTCTTCTCTTCAGAAGATACAAGAATGATCTCAACTTGTTTTTACAATTTTACATGTATGACATGTTTTGATGTTTTGTTCTGTGTAGACGAAGTTGGGTACTGCAGAATTTCTCTTATCTTAGAGATCCAAGAGGCCCGAATTAAGTAGTGATAATTTCATTCAAAAGAAAGGTTTGACATTCATCAAAATAAATATGCCATATATCTCTAGTATTTAATGAAATATGAAAAATTCAGACGATTGTTGGGCTCATGCTTTCGCTCGAGGCCTATCTGCCGTCATGAAGCAACGAGGAATTTTTGAAAACCTTCCCACAATAGAGTTACTGATTAAAAAGATCGAGAGGAAGTATCTTTCAAAAACTAATGCACTCATCAAATCTATCGAAGCTACACCTTCATTGCGTAGAATTTATGGCTGTGATTTCGTTGTGCAATCATCGTCCAAAGCTGAAATTGCTTAAGGATAATGAAGAGTTTGAGAAGTTTATAGAGCGTAGAATAACCATAAGTCAAGTGGAAATGCGTGTCCCTTATTTGGTAAGGTATTCCCGTTTCAGTCATACAAATAAAGTAAGTTTTTTTTATCTTTATTCAAATATATCCAACTTATGATCTTGTGTTTGTACTCACAAAGAATGTCTAGCTGATACATATTTAACTTTTTCACGCAGTTCTCAGTCCAAACGCCATTGATATCCATGCTATGCGTTACGAGTCTTTAGAGAACCACCGTGATGTTATAACGGTTTTACCCGGTTGGAACGCCACAAGGGTCCCATTACAGAAGTTTATGAATTTAAGGTATATATATATATTTCCCCTAATATAAACTATTGGTATGGTTTATCATATAAATATTTATTGATTTAGTTCTTTTTGTTTCAATTTGATCGTCGGTAAGATATCGAACCAATATAGTTTTGCAGAAAATAATTAAAAGCATTTTTTCTTCTAGTCTTTGTTGTGACTTGTGATGAGAGACTACTCGGCTCACCGAAAGATTATAGTAAAAGTGGACTAAAATGCTTCTTTATTTACAAATTTTGTCATATCTTTGATTTATGTATGTCATATGTAGTCCCGACCCAATATATTATTAAAAAGATAGGCCAAAAGTTTTTTTTGCCTATTATTATAAAAAAATGGCCTATTTTTCAATTTTTTTGGGCCTTTTAATACTTTTTTATAAAAATAATTAAGCCTTTTATAGTAGAATTCTCATATTAATAATAATTTTTTAAAATATTTGGGCTTTTTTATATGTAAATATTTTTTAGAAAAAAAGTTTCGGGGTGTCGCACCTCTACTTTACCCCTTTGAGTCGGGTCATATGAGTTTTCTTTCCCTTTTAAACACATATCCTTAAATAATAAACTCTTTTTTTTAGGACCCCAAATAGGATTAATGATTAGTAAAATGTAAAATATACATCTTATTATATACATATTGGTTTATAAAGTTAGTAACTCGCATGATCGTGACACATATCAAATTAATCTATAGATCATATGAGTCATGGGCATTCGGGTATCCGTTCGGTTCCGGTTCGATTCTACTCGGTTCGGTTCTAAAGTTTATGATCTATTCGGAAATTATAAAATTTAGTATCCATTCGGATATTGTGCTTCGGATATTCGGTTATTTTTAGTATTTTTATATATTTTTCGATATTTTTGATTATTCTTTCCATAAATAACTAATAGTTTTGGATATAATTGTATTTTGAATATTTTTCGGGTATCTAAAATATTTCGATTCGGTATAGCTCGGTTCCGGTTCTTTCGGTTTTAGAATTTAGGATCCATTCGGATATTTTTAAATTTTGGTTTGGTTTAGGTTCGATACATTCGGTTCAATTAATTTGCACAGGCCTAGATTAAATATTGATATGTGTCTAGAAAAGATATAACCTTTTTTCCTCCAAAAGAAATAAAAATAAAAATAAAAAGGAACATATTTACATATACTTATTATCTTGTTACTTTTGTTTTTAAAAAGTCGTAGTGTCAAAAATTTTATGATTATATATAGATGTAAATGATTGAAATTGTATGATTTCTTAAAAGCATTTAAATTATATTGTTTACGAAAATGATGTTTTAGGCTTCATTTGAAAAATTGATAGTAGTGATAAAAAATATTAAAGGATAAGAGATAAAAAAAATAAAAATAACATCCCTCTGATAATAATGAAATTATGATATTTGCTCACATTTTCGTCATCCAAGACCAATTCGAGCTACGATTTGTACAATCTTTTGAAGCTATGATTTCTAAATGGGTTATTCGAAATTTAATTTTAAAAGTGATTAATACATAAATATATAAAGCAATGACATTTGCTTGTAAATACTTTTGTTTTTTTAAAATGTATTTTAAAAATATATACATAGATTTTGCGGATGTTTGTAATATCCACATGTACCTGTCCATTGTTTTTAAAAATGAAATTTAGATGACAAATGATGAAAATATTACAAATATGTTTAGCATTTTTTTTTAAACTATTTTAATATTCTCCAGCATTTTATTTTTTTTTGCCTATAGAATGATGTGTATTTACACCTATTGTAGTTAAAGTAATTTAAAACATGTATGCAAAATTGCAAACCACATTTGCTCAGTTAAGATTCGAAATTTCGAATTAACACCTCATTTCGGCAAAAAGATCGTAACCGTCGGTTACAATCAGATTTTTTTGTTTTTTTTGTTTTTGTTAATGTACCAAAAGAAAAGTCAAAGTCCAGAAAACAAAAAGAAGAAGAGATAGGCTTCTAGTTCAAAGAGGTGTCTGAGAGGAGAAGTGAAGATCTGTGTCGTGAGAGAGAAGAAGATTCTTTTTTCCTATATCCGATTATTGAAATTTCAGATTCAAAAAAAAAGAAAAAAAAAGAGGAAAGTGTTGAGATTTACTTTTCCTCGAGGGTTTTTGTCTTTTTTTTTCATTTGTGGGATAATTGTATAAATTAAGCTCTGTTTCAATGGCGACTCTGCAACAATCACAAGAATGTGGTCGAAAAAACATTGCTTGAGGATGATGGAATCGCTGCCCCACGATGTCGTAGAGCTTATCCTGGAGAGACTTCCGGGGAATTCTCTGCTGAGATTCAAGGCTGTATCGAAGCAATGGAACTCAACGATCCAATGCCAACTCTTCCAAGAAAGACACTTGGCGCAGCGTCAGCAATTAGGAGATCCAGATGTCCTCATGGTGTCCCTACGTCGTGAGGATGTTATCAACCCGGACATCGAATCTCTAACAACATTGGTGTTGGGTTCATCATCGTCACCGGTCAAGATCCATACTCCTTGGGAGAAGGAGAACACAGATTACTTAGTTTCCCATAGTAGCTGTGACGGTCTCGTTTGTCTCTACAATCCCCACCATTCCGGTTTCGTGGTTAATCCCACCACTAGATGGTATCGGCCTCTTCCTGTCTGCGAATTACAACAACTCATTATCGACTTACGAGACAGTTTCTACCTCCTCGGATACGGACTATACAAGCTTGGATTCGGTAAAGACAAATTCACCGGCACTTACAAGCCTGTTTGGTTATACAACTCTCTAGAAATAGGCTTAGAAAACGCCACTACATGCGAAGTTTTCGACTTTACCACCAATGCTTGGAGGTATGTCACTCCCGCTGCTCCTTATCGGGTTGTTCATTTCCCCGATCCTGTCTATGTAGATGGGTCTCTTCATTGGTTCACCGACTGCCAAGAAACCAAAGTTGTATCCTTCGATCTTCACACCGAAGCGTTTCAAGTCATCTCTAAAGCTCCCTTTGCCAAGAATGTAAATCCTTTCGACATCGTCATGTGCAACCTCGACAACCGTTTGTGCGTATCCCAGCAGAAGTGGCCCAATCAAGTTATATGGTCCTTCCATTCAAACAACAAGACGTGGGAGAAAATGTACTCCATAGATCTTGATGTAACTCTTTCTTTGGTTGGGAAGCACATATGCGCACTCCCGCCACTAGCACTTTTGGGTGGGAAGAAGAAGAAGAATAATAAGAAGAAGAAGCTGCTATTTTATTCTCGTGAGTTATGTCAAAATCTGGTGATACATGACCCCGAAACCAAATCATATTATGCTGCTTTCTCCACTGAATCATATGGATATCCTGTTTGTTATTTCCAGAGTCTAATCTCCATCAAATAACTTTACTATTTTGTCAATGGATTATGTAACCTTTGCTTCCATTGTTCGTTTGTCCATGTTTGTTACTCTTTAATCTTGTCTTACCATGATTGCTTGTTATGCTTCTAAGTTTATGTCACTGATCAAGTTGGATGATGGGCGGTGAATTTGTCTTTGCTTCAGGTCATAAGTCTTTGAATACATTACCCTATTTTCTTGAATCATTATGTTATTTTTGTGTGATGAAGATTGGGAGAAACAAGACGTGTACCTGTTTGGAGTTATACTACTTCAGACCATCACAAGCAAATTAAAGCAATGGCGGTTTCATCTTCAGAATTATGAATAGCGTGGGAACCTTGGGTTTGAGGGTTAGATGTAGAAGAGGAATACGTCTTCTTCATCTTCCCTGAAGCAAGTATAGAAAATTAGATGAAATGCCAAATTCAAAACCCATACGAGAATCCATTATGTTTGTACTTACTTTACTAGTCTCATATCAAGCTTCAAGTTTTCGTTGAGTGAAATATTCAAGGTTTTGTGGCCTTTTCCCTCAATCAGTACCCAACTATATAGCTTTCTTTGTGAAGCTAATCCATATATTACACAAAGAGAAGAAAGCTATTGGTGAATGGTGATTGAGAGAAATGAGAACTACAAAGCTTACTACTACTTGTCAACAGTTCTGATTTTTATGTTCCGAAGAAAAGTCAAAGTTCAAAGAGGTGTATGAGACTAGAGTTTAGTTAGGAGTTAGGAGAAGTGAAGATTTGTGTCGTGTGAGAGAGAGAGAGAGAGCGAGTTCCTTTTCCTTGATCCGTTGAAATCTCTAGAAAAATTTTAGATTCAAGAAAAAATCTCAGAGACATTTTAGAGAATGAACCGTGAAAGAATTATCTACTATAGACACAGACTCACAGAGTTAGCAAAATCTGTTTTAAAAGAGACAAGAAATCATCTACTACTTAAAGAGAAAAACCAGCAAAATGAGATATTTTGAAGAACACAAAAGAGCAAGAAACTATCTCTGGAAAAAGAAAGGACTTTATGGCTTTCTTCAATCAACTTGTTTTGCGTGATCTCCTTTGCTCGAGCTACCATCTTCTTTAATCACCGGTTGGAAGCTTTTGTGTTTCCTGATACACAGGAGATAAACTCAAATCATAAACCATAACAATGTCATATCAACGAACCTTAACAATGACTTCTAAGAACAAAACAGAACTTACTTCTCTTGTTTCCTGTTGTCCTTTCGAGTCACCTCCTGTTGTTTTGCCTTATCTCCTCTACTCAAGTAAACAGGTGTTTCAATCACCGGTTTGTAGCTTTCATGTTTCCTGAAACAGTGGAGACAAACTCAAATCATAAACCATTACAATGTCATATCATTGAACTATACTTTAATGTTTCCTGAAACATAACAATGTCATATCAAGGAACCTTAACAATGACTTCTAAGAACAAAACAAAACTTACTTCTCTTGTTTCATGTTGTCCTTTCGAGTCACCTCCTGTTGTTTTGCCTTATCTCCTCTACTCGAGCTACCATCTTCTTTAATCACCGGTTTGCAGCTTTTATGTTTCCTGAAATAGAGGAGATAAACCCAAATCATATAGCATAACAATCATAAACCGGAACAATGTCAAATCATAAACTCAAATCATCAAACCAAGAACTACACTTTAGCTTCTATCTCTAAGAACAAAACAGAACTTACCAGTCTTGTTTTAGGTAGTCCATTCCAATCATCTCCTGTTTTGCGTTATCATCTCTACTCAAGTAAACAGCTGGTTCAATCACCGGTTTGCAGCTTTTATGTTTCCTGAAACAAAGGAGATAAACTCATATCATAAACCATTACAATGTCATATCATCGAACTATACTTTTATCAGTTTATGTTTCTTGAAAAACAGTGGAGATAAACTCAAATCATAAACCGGAACAATGTCAAATCATAAACTCAAATCATCAAACCAAGAACTACACTTTAGCTTCTATCTCTAAGAACAAAACAGAACTTACCAGTCTTGTTTTAGGTAGTCCATTCCAATCATCTCCTGTTTTGCGTTATCATCTCTACTCAAGTAAACAGCTGGTTCAATCACCGGTTTGCAGCTTTTATGTTTCCTGAAACAAAGGAGATAAACTCATATCATAAACCATTACAATGTCATATCATCGAACTATACTTTTATCAGTTTATGTTTCTTGAAAAACAGTGGAGATAAACTCAAATCATAAACCGGAACAATGTCAAATCATAAACTCAAATCATCAAACCAAGAACTACACTTTAGCTTCTATCTCTAAGAACAAAACAGAACTTACCAGTCTTGTTTTAGGTAGTCCATTCCAATCATCTCCTGTTTTGCGTTATCATCTCTACTCAAGTAAACAGCTGGTTCAATCACCGGTTTGCAGCTTTTATGTTTCCTGAAACAAAGGAGATAAACTCATATCATAAACCATTACAATGTCATATCATCGAACTATACTTTTATCAGTTTATGTTTCTTGAAAAACAGTGGAGATAAACTCAAATCATAAACCGGAACAATGTCAAATCATAAACTCAAATCATCAAACCAAGAACTACACTTTAGCTTCTATCTCTAAGAACAAAACAGAACTTACCAGTCTTGTTTTAGGTAGTCCATTCCAATCATCTCCTGTTTTGCGTTATCATCTCTACTCAAGTAAACAGCTGGTTCAATCACCGGTTTGCAGCTTTTATGTTTCCTGAAACAAAGGAGATAAACTCATATCATAAACCATAACAATGTCAAATCATAAACTCAAATCATCGAACCATCTACTATTACAAAACCCAACAAAACAGGCAAGAAACTATAAGAACAAAGCATAACTTACTTGTCTTGGTTCTTTTCAATCACCTCCGGTTTAGAAACTTGTTTAGCAATCTGATTCTTGTAGGCTTCAATGATTTCGGTCTGCTTTTGAGGATTAGTGAAAACCCTAGCTAAATCTATCAAGATATGTGATAGACCTAAATCTTGTAGATAGTTCAAGAAAGTGGTGATGTCAATAACACCATGTTGATACCGACAACACACTTCCTTAAAAGCCAAGAATAAGTCTTCATCACCACGAAGTGAAGACTTCACCATCTCTTCAAATTTAGAAACAGGAGGCGGAGGAGCCGTTCTGTTTCGCGGAAGAGTCTCGTAGTGCCGGAATTCACATTTGTCGCCCTTTTTACAAATCCCCAGGCCATAGTGGTAAAATTTGCATGTGGGCTTCCCTTCCTTCTTAGGCTTATGTTGTGGTATCGCCGGTGGTACGATCGGCAGCGGCGGCTGCACAATTCCGGCAAGATGCATATAGCGTTCCTTGCACTCCTGAGCCGTATGTCTCCTGTTCATGGCCATACTGACCGTTTCCATGAAGCAAGGAAAGGCCCAACCATATCGAAGTAGTGTTTGGTCATCTTCTTCAGTCCACATCGTAGAAGACAGACGGAGAGCTTCGAGAAGTCTGGTTTGCCGAGGGAAACGGAGAGAGACAGAGACACAGCTTCCCGAGAGAGAAAGCGGAGACAGAGACAGAGCTTTTGCGAGAGAGAAAGCAGAGAGAGACAGAGACAGAGCTTCGCGAGAGAGAAAGTGGAGACGGAGACAGAGAAAGAGCTTCGCGAGAACAAAAGAAAAACGAATGAGAGACGGAAATAAAATGGATTTATACGTTGAGGAGCGTATAATTATATAAATTGAATAATGTATTTGGCTTCGAAATCTTTGAAGTTAAAAAAATAGCCGTTTCCGTATTCTTCTGCTTATTTTGTAACCGTTCGATTTTAATCCGACGGTTCTGATTTGGTACTAGTTGATTCCTAATTTTAAAACTTAGATATGATGGGACCCACCAGAATAAAATAGCCGTTTTTGTATTCTTCTGCTTAGTACTAGCCGTTGGATCACAAGTAGTGTGATTTGTGTTTTTCAGCCGACGGCTACGATGACGTATTAAGTCATTTTTTATTAAAAGCCTAAAACTAATATATATAATGCGACTTTTTGAACATGGGGCCCACTAGAACCATCCTGAGATTCAAATCTAGTTTCACTTGTAGTTCACTTCAAAAACAGATTTTATTTCTTTTTGTTTTCTTTCTTTTTCTTCATAAATCACCTATTTTTTCTCCACAAGTTTTTTTTCTTCTTATATTCACTTTATATTAAATCATTTTCTGATTTATTTCATCATTATTCGAGGGTTAAAATGTAATGTTGTCATACATGTCTCGAACTAGTAAATAAAATACACTACTCCAGTTCATCTCTGATATCAAAGATTATTCATTTTAAACCAACAAAATTCGGAAAAAAAAATCACACTAATCCCTATTATTTCGGAATTACGTGTTTCCGCCAAAACAAAAAAAAAAATCAAAGCATTGTGTTTTTCGCCAAAACTATAAAATTCGTATTTTTCCGTCAAATTTATAGAATCACTATTTTGGCGGAAATATTATGGAATGTGTTTTCCCGCCAAAACAAAAAAATCTAAGAATTAATATTTTTCCATCAAAACCATAAAATCATATTTTCCCGCAAAAATTAGAAAATCATGATTTTATGATTTTGGCAAGAAAATTGTGGAATTATGTTTTCTCACCAAAACCTTAAAATCTTAAAAATAGAATTGTGGATTTGTGGATTTGTGGTGTGGGTAGCTGAACCGATGTCTGAATGTTTGTTTTTATAACTATTTTTAATCTACATAGCAGGTTTAGTTATTTCCCCGGAAAAAAAATATTTGGTCATAAAAAATTATCCAAAACTACAAAAAAATAATTTACCTATAATTAATTACATTAAGACCTTGAATGTTTTGTAGATTTTGAAAGAGTTTTTGGTTTTTGTTTTTCAAAAACTCATTTTCATACCAATCAAGATTTTAAAATTTTGGTTTCCCTAGAATTTGGAAAAATATTTTTATTGTAATCTCCCATTCACGATTTTAGATATTTAGTTCTCCTATAATTTAGGGAATCTATTTTTTATTCCATCTACGTTAGCTTTTCTGAAAATCCAAAAACTATAGTTCTGGGGTTTTTAAAACAAAAATCAAATAATAAAAAACAGCATCCATTCATGGTCTAAGTATCTAGTGCATGCTACAAAAAATAATAATAACAAAAAAATGACCTCTTTCTTTTGAATTCACTGTCTACTGAGCAACCGGAAATAAACATTAACGGAACAAGAAAAATTTCTCGATTTTGCTTCGTTCGCTAAGTATGGTATTATAATTCTTTATTCTTTTGTGTCGCTTGTTCTCGCTTGAATTTTACACTTTCCGTCAATTTTTCGAGCATACCACTCTTTAAACTCGCCTTTCTTTACTTTGAATCGGTTATATCTACCGATTTTTTCACAAACCTTCGATTATTCTGTTAGAGTTTACTATTTCATTATTTAATTTTACCGATTTCACAAAAATCTTCGGTTGTTCCGGCGAAGGTTTGTTATATTCTCGGTTAATCTGCTGATTTTATCAAAAAATCTTTAATTATTCTGCAGGAAGTTGTTATCTACTATAGTTATTCTGTTGCGTCTTACTAAATCTTAGATCGATTATGATGATGTATGTGTGCAGGTTTTGAATCCTCAAAACGATTTTATGGATAGTCATTCATCTTATATCCTATCAAATGGTGATCATTTGAGAATCTCGATTGTATCTCAGGTGCTTGATGGAACTAATTACTCCTCTTGGAAAATTGTAATGTCTATGGAACAAATTGCCTTTTATTGATGGTTCTCTTCCAAGGCCATTTGAATCGGCTCCTCATTTTTGCATATGGTCCCGTAGTAATAACATTTTTAACCTTTAGATCTTGAATTCTGTTTCAAAACAAATCTACAAAGTATTACTCGATTCAATGATCCTACAAAGATTTGAAAAGTTGGTACTCTTTCACATTACAAATCTTCCACGGTCTTACCATATAACACAACATATTTGGTCTTGTGTTAATCTGCTGATTTGGAAAGTTGGTAACTCTAACAAATTTTTACAGCAAATTCGCTACATCAATCTACAGTTTATACCACATAAATTTTAATGCAAATAAATTCAAATTAAAACATCGACTGCAATTCAACTTCAATACTATGTATTACCAATCAAAGCCATAGTGTGACAAGCATTTGAATTGATATGTGTTAAAGTAACAAATCATATATTATTTAACCATAGATTTTAAAAAATCTTCTAAAATCAGTTATAAAACTTGTGATTAGGAAATATACATTACTGAGAACATTTTAAGCATTGGATCCGATTATATTAATTTTAAGAGATTTTAAAGATTTTTTTAGTTAAAATACAAATATTTAAATCTCATGGTTTTAAGTAGGATTTAGAGGAAAAATTACAGCAAATAATATCAATTTTCCTAATTTTACCTGAAACAATAAAAAAAAAAAACTCATGAAACACAAATCATTTTAAATATAGGGTCGAATACACCCACATGATCTTTTTTTTAGTCTAAATTAGTTTTGATGGTATACCCTAATCTTATAAACATTTGAAATTTACGTAACTTTAAAGAATTTGAGATCCACCTTATATTCAAAAATGAAAATCTTGTCATTAATTAATACCTAAAAATTCATAAAATCAAAATAAGATGATTTCATTAATTATTTGAAATTAATTTAAATTTTAAATTATATTTTTTTTTTCGTCAAAACAAATTTATATTAAATTAAGAGAGTCAATACATAGATGTTCTTGAAGCCAAACCGGCTGGAAAACAGAGTCTTAGAAAAAAAACACATGAAATACAACCATATTTTGCAAGACAATGTGCTGCCATAGTGCCATGTTCCCTTCTCTCTTAGTAAATACGAACCATGTACGTTGAAATTTCTTCGCCCAAAACTTGATGTCCTTGAGGAGATTTGTCAATGTGCCAATCTTTGTCGAATCGTTGACAGTGTGTATCAGAGTTTCACAATCTCTTTAAAGAAAAATGACTTTGTGTCCACGGATCCAAGATTGTTGCATAACTGCTAGTAATGATTTTTTTTTCTGCTTCTAGAGGAGTAGCGGCATGGCCTAATTTCAGTGATCCCCAATATTTCGGAGTTCCGTGATGGTCTCTGATAATCTAACCTCATATTTCTTGTTGTGCCAGTGCATCGAAACCTGCATCAAAATTACACTTAGTGAAAGGAGGCGGCGGAGCCGTCCAAGAGCGGCAAGGAGGAGGGTTATGATTTATTGTGAGATCTCTTCTCTTGTAAATGGTAGTGGCAGTGATCCATTGTTTTGTTTCAGCTTGTGCCTTCAAGACAAATTTGGAAGGACTCTCTCGGGCTTTGTTAAAAACAAAATTGTTTCTAGCTTTCCAAATTTGCCAAAGATACCAAAATAGCATAAGTTTTTGATCCTCCTGAATCGTTTGGTTTGTATGGAGACTCATTAAGTTGGACAAATTTTCTTCCAAATTAGTCGTGAAACTATGGCTTCGCAGGGAAGGTGAGTTCGACAGTCGCCAAACCATGATTGCAAAAGGGCAGGTGAACAATGCATAGTTTATAGTTTCATCTTCTCGTCGACATCGAGGGCAGATTGTATCAACACGCATTCCTCTTGTAGCCAGTCTGGTCATGGTAGCTAAAGCTCGAGAAAGGGCTCTCCACTAGGAAATGTTTTATCTTCGCATGATTGGTAACTTCCAAACTCTATCTGTTTTTCAGATCTATAGAACTAGGAGGAATATTGACACGATCGTGATGTTCATGAGGATCATGGGTGAGTAGCCAATAACCTGAACGTACGGAGTAGTCACCAGAGTTGTTATAGAGCCAGGTGATGGTGTCGCAATTCTCTTCCTTTGAAAGATGAATGTTTTGGACATGTGATTGGTCTCTTGGATCCACGTGGATTGAGATATTTGAAATGTCCCATGAGCAGGAAGTTCCTTTTTTGGAGATGAGGTTTCCTAGTGGCATGTTTTTTTAAGGTTCATCTACACGGATTGGCCTAGGAGGATGGTCGTCAATCACGTTATCGATACCTAATCGTATGGTTTTACCATCGCCTACTATATATTGGGTCCCTTTTTTTAGTAAGGCAATGCCAGATAGGATAGAGGCCCAGCCATATGATTGGTATTTGCGGTCCTTTGCATCTAAAATGGATTCATCACGAAAATAACGAGCTTTCATGATCCTGGCAAATAGAGAGTGAGGATGTTGAAAAATGCGCCAAGCCTGTTTTGCAAATAACGCATCGTTAAATTTTGCTAGATCACGAAAACCTAATCCTCCTTCTTTTTTCGAATACTGTAATCTCTTTCAGGCAATCCATGGTATCCCCTTTTGTTTTGTTAGTTGTTCCAGTGTTCCTTATCAACTACGTTTGTTCAGCATGTTTTGTCAATCTGATGGCATTTTGCTGTTGAGCCACCTAATAGCTTATCTCTAAGGCTTTGTTGCGGTTTTTTGTTTTTAGG